CACCACTATAGAACATCAAATGAACAAGTAAGAAAGAAAGTGAAGGTGTTCATGTCAGTAAAGAAAGGATCGTGATAGTTATAACAAAAGATCAAAACAAAATACCTTCCTGCCCCACAACCTCCTTTAATCACGTAGAGCTTCTCACTTAATGCTGCTCAAAAGATAATATACTCAGGCACATCCAGGTTATGATGTGAAGAAGAAAAATTTCACCAGAAAAGTGAAAAGCAAAATCGTCACCTGATAACACAAGTCCCGCAGACTTAAGTGCTTCATCGGTACCTGAAGCCATTATCTGAAAAACTATACAAATCAGCTTCCTTACAGACACATTAGAGATAGGTTTCTAGACTTCATACCGTAAGTTCCCCCATGGCAGCCCTCTTAACACCACCAGATACAGGAGCATCAACCAGCTTTAGGTCCTTTCCCTCATCTGCAACATTATCCAAATATAAAGAATAAATAATAGAACCCAATCAAGTGAAGGTAAAAGATTATGGTGAAAGTAAAATTGACCAGCCGTGCATATCACCCTCCAGAATGAAACAGGTATGGCTGTAGCTGGTTACTGAAAACACTTACATTTATAAGGATTTTCCTATATCATCAAGCAAAGAAAAACTTACTTTCTAGACGCCTTTCAAGTTGGCTAACAAATGCGGGAGAAACTGTTGACGCAAGTACAACAGTTGCTCCAGATGGAATAGCTGAAATATTTGAAAGAAAACATAGGAAAAATTAGCTCTAACCTCCAGTACTAAAATCTAGGACACAGAAATATACCTTCAACCGCGCCAAGATGTCCATACAGCACATCCTCAGCCTGAACCTCGTTTGTTACCATAATTACAAGAACATCTACATCTGTAGGAACAGATACAAATTATAAGCATTACTTCTGGGGAAATGACTGGATATTAAAGAAATAGGCAGAAAATTCTTCTTAGAAGTGCTGAGAGCTACATGAAAATCTAGTGATCTACACTGTAATCTATCCGCTTTTGAGGAGTACCTTTAGTAACATCAGCTGGAGAATTTGCCGCCAATCCTCCAGCACTCTCAAATCTGACAAGCGTTGGCTTGTATACCTAAAATTCAGATCAGTAACAACTTACAGTTAACAAAGTTGCACGTTTACTGCTTAAGAGTGATAAAACAGCGTTTCTTTTTTAAGTTAAGTCACCTACTACTAACAGCTAAAAAGTAAAGGCATCTATGAACGCATTACAGCCAAAAGTCCAGCAAGAGGCAAACCATGTGCCTCTATAAACTAGGAAACTACTAGAGGAGTAGACATGTATATATACCACTGACTCATGTAACTAAACACAAATCATTCTGAACATGTATAACATAGACTCCTAGAGCATTCACAGTAGAGAGAGCTTACGTCATAACCACAGACAGAAAAGTTTGATTTCAACAGGTGTGCTGCCATTCCAAAACCCATTGCTCCAAGACCAATAAAACCAATTCTATTCACAGGCTTTGCTTGAGAAATAATTTCTTTGGCCAAGTTCTCTGGCTGGTAAAGTTCTCTACTGGCTGCTTCTAATATGCCAACACCAAGTACTTTTTCCCAGATCTGCTCAATCATAATGTGAACCTTTCATTAGTGTGGCATGCGTCATGTAAATGGTCTATGACAGTATTTTTCCGTTCAGTTACAATTTTTACAAGCTTCCAAAGAACTAGAAATATATGAAGAAAACTATATTCGGGACCTTAGCCAATGAAGTAGTTGTATCGTCTCCCTGCATATGTGATATTCCTGGAAAAGGGAAAGTTATGCATATAATTGAATAAAGAGAAAGAGGTCGTTATCATAGTCAAAAGAGAACATAAGATCATATTGATTAATACCATGGATTAATTGTTGGCGTGCAATTGCCAAAAGTGGGACAGGAAATGGGAGCGACTTGGCTTTATCTTCAACAATCCCCTTGCCATTGGAAAGTCAGTTAGCGTCTCATTAGTTACATATGCTAAACATCAAGACTTTAATCACAGTAAAAAAAAAAATTATGGAGCTAATTTTGCATTTCTCTCTTTCCTATTTTCCTGTGAACCAAAAGTTAATGTACCATACCAGATTCTGAGAGAGGACATCCAGGAAGCGTCCCTCGATACCATCTTTTAGCAACAAGGGAATATGATTTTTGTAAATCCTAAAAGACATAAAATACAGAAGACAATTTAATTCTAAGACAGCCATGTTCAAAATACGGGCATGTCAATTTGAAAATAACCATTGAGGGATATCTTTAATGGGCCTAAATGAAAAGCTACAAACAAATCTACTTGTCTTCCAGTTAAATTTGGTAAACAGGAAACCATGCTAGAGTTACAACTTACTTGCAACAGTCTATTCTCAAAACTTCCAGAATTAGACTATTCAGCTTATTCTTTTTCCCTTCCTCTAAAAGAGTGTATACTAAAGATTCATCAACAGTGTAATTAATAACAGTCCTACTATCATATATCTCACCAGTTTTGTACTGGGAGACCTTTTTATTACTCATAGTGAAAGGAAAGTCCTTGTAGCATAAAGCATACCATGAATTTCCAGCAGCATTGGAAATGATGTCATACAGTATCCATGGATGCACACCCGCTTGAGAACCTAAAGATATAGCCTCCACAGCAGCAACAAGATGAATGCCCTCAAGCAGTTCATTCACCATTTTCACTTTACTGGTTCCCAAAAAATGAAAAACGACATCAATTGGTTTTCTTTAATGCAGGGGAACAGTTGGAGTCATCAAAGGTTTTGTTTTGTGCATATCATGACCAAAGATCTCATAGATTCATAGTATTATGTCGGTAAACAGCTTAATCATAATTTGATGACTCTGACGAGGTAATGGACAGGCAAACTCTTAGAAGTTGTAGTGACCATGAGAAGGTTATATATCACCTGGAAAGTTCCATACCTTCCAGCACCAATTTCTCCCTCAAAGGTGTAAAGCTTCTGACTCATAGCTGAATGAAACAAATAAATTGTCTCACTAACAAAGGTAATTCTTAGAAAGTCACCATTTTGAGAGGGTCTAAATACTTGAGTTAAATTTTACCGGTAAGATAGGGATGTGCTCTTGTGATCGAATCTGACCTTCCAGATGCTATTATCTTATACGTTAGAAAGGAAAGAGTTACTACAAGTACAGTGACATGCGACTTTTAATAATGAATGGAGACCAACAATCACCAAAATACTACACCAACGTAACAAACTTGGAAGGAAAAGAGAGTACATACCATTAGTTTTCCTTCAAGAAGCTCAGACATTCCTTTTAAAACATAGGCATCAACTACGAAAATATGTTCTCTATCCTCTGCATTGGAAACAAATCCCATTTTCAGTTCACAAGCGTGATGAAAGGCAAATCATGCCTCAAAGTATCAAATTAAACCTGTAAGTTGCTTCTCTAGCCTCTGGAGGTGCAAAGGAGATATTGTTGAAGACAAAAGCAATACAGCGCCCTTCTGTAGACCTGCAAAAAATCGAACGTATACAGTGTCCTACACAATAATTCTGAGATAAAATTCATAAACTGTGAGGTAAAAAAGTAAATGTTGGGGATTACCTTTCATAACACCCTCATCACCGAAAATAACATCTTGAATTTGGTCAGGGTGGGATAGTAAAACCACCACGGCTGCTGCACCTGCTTAATTAAGAACAAATACAGAAGATAGAGGAAGCAAAGTAAAATAAAATGACACAGAACAGTATTAAAAGTAAATAGAGGCATCAAACGAAGTAGCAGCAGAAATTCACAACAAGACGGTTTTCATGTTCAGAGGCTAGTACTATATATCAAATGCTCGATAAACCCTACAAACAAAAGAAATTGCATTTTATTTTTTCCCCTTAAAAGCTGTACTTATTTCCATGTCTCTTAACCTTTCCCAACAGCTACAGGGCTGTCACATTTGTGTCCCCCCAATACAGTGAACTTCTCCACCAATGTTGTACTTATCTGTAGAATTAGACACAACAATTCAGCTTTCTTCCTTATAATTTGTCAATAGAGACAAAGCAATCAATTCAACAAAAATTCCGCACTACAAATCAAATTAATCTGACGTGTTTCAGTTGAATTGAACTCTCTGTGCAGTGAATATAGGAATAAACAGCTGAAATCCTGGGAGATAGACTAAGAATTTCGAAATTATTACAGAACCCACAAATTTCATTCCGAATATTTGAAACCCGATCAAAGCAACTGACCTCGAATGCTTGAACTTTAAACCCAGAACGAAGAAGCGAAGAAGCTAATTCGAAGTTGAAAGAATCAAGACCAACAAACCCGACAACGCCACCCATATTCTCCGATCACTACAATTCTCCCGGTTCCTCCGATGGTAATATACAGTCAACGAACCAATTTCATACGCATCTCTCTGTCTCTCTCTCTATATATAGGAGTATTATTTAGCGAAACGTAACGTTGCATAGTAGACTCATACGTGGAAAGCCATATCCAAAAACCTTTTATCTTTTTAAATTATCTGTCAAAAGCAAAAACATTAAATTTCTCAAAAAAATAATTATATCACAGTAGAGTAGAGAAAAATTCAAAATAAATTGAAGTATTTGTTAGGTATAGATTTGAGAACATGGGTGACAAAACTAGAAGAAACCACCATATATGCAATGTATCAATGATATATTACATTTCTCCATTTAAGGTTACATGTTATTCGACTTTCTATATGAACGAACACCAAAACTCTTACAAATAGCAACTCTTGTAATACAATGTAACGATATTATTATATTCTAGATTATTATTTGGATTTGGGGATGGGGATTAACTAATTAAAAGTCAAGTAAAGAATTCACTAATACAGAGCTTAGTCTTCGTTTCAATGCGTAATGATAGGATCAGAAACAAATTATCTCGAAAATTCAGGCAGGAGCTACCTGGATTTAAATTCAAAAACCAAAATTTATAACCATCGAGTGTGTGTGTATATAATAACCACATGTGTTTTACAACTTTTACATCTTATAAAGATACAAAAAAAGAAGATAAAAGAGATAGAAAAAACTAAACAAAAATGGAGGTTGTTAGATTCGCCGTCGCCGTCGTTCTCGTACTTTGCTCCGTTACGTCTTCTAACGCCGCCACTACACCACCGAGCAGCGGTGGTGCTGCGGGAGGAGACGCGCACGCAATGCCGTGTATACAGAAACTGATGCCTTGCCAGCCGTATCTTCACTCGGCTAGTCCGCCGCCTCCGCCGACGTGCTGCATGCCGTTGAGGGAGATCGTCGAGAAAGACGTGACGTGTCTCTGCTCCGTTTTCAACAACGTCGACATGCTCAAATCGCTTAACCTCACTAAAGAAAACGCTCTCGTTCTCCCAACCGCTTGTGGCGCCAAAGCTGACGTGTCACAATGCAAAACCAGCACCGGTGGTGAGTAACCTATTACCACGGCGCCGTTTTAGTTTCTTATTTAGACGCGACGTTCTATTTGAATTTCTTATCTAAGCCTAACGCGACTCGGATCTGTCTCTGTTGATTTTTTTGTTAACGAAGGTACTACTCCGTCTTCGTCTTCGACGCCGCCGGCAACCCCGAAAACTCCTCCGGCATCTTCCACCGGTATGAATTGTATCTCAAATCTAAATCTCATTGTTTTGGTTTTTTCACGGGAAATATTGTTTCGTCTTTTTTTTTTTTTTTTTAATTAGTCTCTTCTTCAAAAATTCATTCCTGGGATATATATATATATACTTAGTTCTACTTTTTGAACGCATGAATAGGAAGCGGTTCAACCGGAGATTCAGCTTCTTCGACGGCCAAATCAACAAGCTCAGCTCCGGCCATCAACTTCGGCGGACTTAGCTTTGCATCGGCTGTCGTGGCAACACTCTTCTTCTGATCTACGTACTATATTTATTTTACGTCTTTTATTAGGTAGGTTCTCATTTGTTGGAAAAATAATCAGACCATGTTCGGTAACATTTTTTTTATTTCAACTAAAGGTTATAACTGATTATTCATTCATATGTACCAAGAAATTCAAATAATAGTAACAACTTCCTACAACTCTTTACTAATATATATGCTAACTTGTAATTTCTTTATTGGTCCTCTGCATACATAGGATTCCAAAACCTGTACATATATCAGTGCAACTATTTAAATATGAAACATTAATAACGTTACACTACAACTCACTAGTGTACACAGACATGTATCTCAATTTTAAAAGATTATGTTAAACATAGAAATCACTAGTTTATATATACCTCGATCGTTAAGAATTTTTTAATAGCTAACTTATTTGGAAGCTAGCTTTGCAGCTCCTGTCAAGATTTTGACATTGCAACTCCCCCAGATAATGTAATAATTATTCCCTGATGATTTTAATATGTTGACGATAGCTAATTGAGATCGCCTTTTCACTTTAGTAGCTAAGTGGATGTGTTTATATAATGTTATCCGAGTCTTTGTGTCTTTGTGCTGTATAATTATTTATATAATAAATCATTTTGACAGTTCATTCGAAAATTGGAGTATTTTAATTTTTAGATCGAAGCCAACAAAAACGAGCAAGAAACAACAAAACAAGTAGAGTCCAAAGTCCAGGGCACTTGACTAATAAAATCACATAATTCGAAACTGGTGTGATCTCCGACAGCAGCAAATACATATACGCAAGTGACAGTAGTGCTTATGTATCCACAAGATGATTAAGAAGGAATGATTTAAGAAAGTTCAACCAAATTTGATATATTTTACATCTATAAAGCATTATATAATTTATACAGTATATATGTGTTATACATTACTACATACATTTGAAGATAAAATAATTTATTTAATCAACTACAAATTATTAATTAAAGATTATAAACATTATTAATCGATAGAGTGACGTGAATTTATCTGTCTACATCTGAATACCAAATCTACATTATATATACATGATTATATATGTCATGCTTTTTGTAATGCTTTTAGCTTTAATAATACAAATTAAACGTTGATTTTAAAGATCATATAAAAAAAATGTGGCAACTAACAAAATTTCCTTATATTATATGTATGATGTATCCAGACAGCTATTGAGCTGTATAGGTATATGATAGACTATTTTGTTTCATGGTACCGACTTATGTAATCTTTGTTTTTGGCTTTTGGGATTTCTAAAACCAAATAGACTAAAAATTCATATTATAATTAATATCAAAATGTGAAAGTAAAAATAAAATAAAAACAAAACGGAGGGAGAAGCCATGTCTAATGATGAGTTAGGTAGCGTCGTGACTCGAGCTCAGCACAATCGCCCAGCTCTTCACAATCACACCCATCCTTCATCCATGTGCTTTTTCTTCTACCTATCTACTACTCTCTATCCTATGTATGTCTCAGAAAGAGTTAAAAAACACACACACATATACACACACGTACGCTTGTATATTATGACAATAGTTAATTTTTTTATTTTGATTAATAACCATATTTTTTGTTGGCATTATAATTACCACAACTTGATCATATCTATAATTGATTTCTCAACGGCCGAATACTGTTAAAAAAAAGGCAAATATATTGTTTCTGCTTACTATTACCGCCTTGATTCATGCTGTTTTGCTGAATAAGAACAACATTTAGTTCTAAATGGCCTTTGTCACAACAAAAAGTCACACTCCAATATACATTTTATATTTGTAATATTTTTTTCTGTTTGGTAGAACGAAACATTGACAAATAAGCAGCTCGTCTTACAAGGGCTGAATCTGATTAATTAACGAGTTTGACCTGATTATATAAAAATTAATTATGTAGCGGCCATGTATATATGTCAATTAATGAATTAGTGTTGGTGAAACGAAAACCTTACTCTTTGTAGTTTAATAACTTCAAATTATATCTATCAGATAAAGTCCCAATAAAGTTAAGAAGCGACAACTATAATACGAAGAGAAAGAAGATACACACAGTTGTATTGTACACAACCAGCTAATCAAAATTAAATAATACTTAACCATCACTTAATCCCTAAACTAATGCAACTATATACATACACATAATTATAAAGCCAGCCCATTCCTCGAAACTTCTCTCTCTCTCTCTCTTTCCCTGTCTCTTTCTCTCGTTCTTCTACTCTGCTCATAATAATGGGGAACACATCTTCATGCGCACCATTGATCATATCATCACACTCATCCTCAGGAGTAGTCAAAATCTTGGCTCCGTTCGCGGGAACTCTCGACGTTTTCTCTAAGCCCATCAAAACCTCCGACATCGTCTCTCGAAACTCCGGCCACTTTATCACCGACTCGACTCTACTCCAAGTCGGCCACCGAGTCACCGCCGTGTCTCCAGACGAGTTTCTACGGCCGAGACGGCATCTCTATCTCCTCCTCCCGACAGACATGCTCTTCTCTGTCTTAACACAAGAAGAACTCGCTCTCATATCCGACAAAGCCGCGGAGACACTCAACGAAAGCAGGTATAACCATTTGAAGAGAATATTCCCGGTTTGTATCTTTCCGGTAACCGGAGACAGACGAAGAAACTCATCATCAGCTGATGATGATCAACAAGACGACCATCACGATGGTGTGGAAATTATAAGAGAAACCCTAGAAGAGAAGGTACTATACGAATCGAAACATGGATCTTGGAGGCCTAAATTGGAGACGATCGTGGAGAGCTAAATGCCTAAAATCTCGATGATCATTAAATTCTATATATGTAAAAAACCAACATTCAATCATAGACGAGAGTACTATTTTGTTCTTTTATTTATATTTTTGTCCTGATTTTTTTGTCCGAGTTTTACAGAGAAATATATTGAGGCTTATGTGGTTTTGGTCACGACTTGAATATTTTTTCGTGTAAATTAGTGATAGCAATTGTGTAATTAAGTTTTGATAAAATTATAGTGGACGACACATCCTATCGGGAGGAGGATAACTTGCTAATTTGTCGTCGTTTTAATTGCTAATTAGTATATATATTTCTAAACTCCATAACATTAATTTACGATATACAATTGTGTCAAGTACTCTATCGAGTTAAACATGATACCACTACACGTTTTATATGACCATTGTAACTTTTAGAGATTACAAGCATGAGTTTTGTGTACACACATACTCCCTAGTTATCTTTTGGGGATCAGGATATATCCATCCCTAGTTTTAGAACAAATATATAGTAAACGTGCATTGAACGTAAATGGATGTTGGTAAAGCAAACCTATTTTTGGTAAGCTTACATGCAAACAAGTGACCTCGACTGGGTAAATTTGAGCCGCTGAAGTAATAATCGGACGGCTATGGTGAGTCTGGATTTTGTCCTCGTTAAATAAAATGGATATTGGTCAACGAAACAAAGACTCGGGTTTCTGGTAAATCAGATTGTAGGTACAGCTATTTTGGTATTTAGTACGTATTTATATGGAATATAGTAGTACATATAATTGTTTCAACTTTGATACGTAATTCTTTATCAAAGAAAAAAATGTTGGTACGTATGTAATAAAATATGTATATATCCGAGTTTAAATAAATAAAAGTTGGAGAATATGATTGGAACTATTCGCAGATACTCTGAATATAAAAGATATGGCCAGCCGATCCAATCTCTAATAAAAAAGGGGATAATAGAAAAGGACCTGCGCAGTTTTTTGTTTTTGTTTTTTTTGGCCTCGTACTAGGCCAAAAGTCTAACATAAATACACAATTACACAAATGTGTCTCATAAAACGAATTGAAGATTATCATCCTGTAAATACATATCATACAGTATAAACAGGCAAGCTTTTACCATCTTTATCAAAAAGAGATTAACAAAGATAATTATAGTAAACTTAACTTCTTAATAAAACTAAGAAGTAAAGCTTTTGGCATCAAAATCTGCTTTTGTAGTATTTTAATATTCCAAACTAAATTGAATTCCAGTTAAATCGTCCAAAATATGTAAATCTTCCTATATATATATATATTTAAACTAAAATTAACTCTCTTTTTTTAACATCTGGACTAAAATCTCTATATTAGTAAAAGAGAAGTACAAAATAGAATACGGATCGGGTTAAAATTAAAAAGTTAACCCGATTTCAACAATTAGATACTTCAAAAGTGGATATTAAATTGGGTTTGGATACATACATCGGATATTTTCCATATCTAATTTTACGATTGTATTATTTCCATAACTAATTAGAAGATTTCCAAATATTTCTCTAACTAATTTAATATAATCTATTAAAATAATTATTATTCTTCTTTCACTTTTATTTGATCTTATTTTTAATTTATGATATTATACTATATAATATAAATATTTAATAATAATTTAACTTTTTTTTTGCATATACTGCAATTTGAATTTTTTGAAACGGACATATAATACTCAACTACTCTCGGTTAAATATTTTGGACAATAATTTAAAATCATTATAAGTATGACCAATATTAAAACCATTGTTACATGAGCATATTTAAAAATTTTAAAAGTTTCAAATATTATGATTAAGAGGTTCAAATATATATAAACTTTAGAATTTATCATATGGAATTTTTTTTAAGACATAAATGTAATTTTGGAGACATAATTTTAGTTGATAAAATATATTATATATCAAACTATTTAAAATTTATATTTTTCACGGGTAGTTTGTTAAATCACAATTATAATGATAAAGCGAGTTATGAATAATGTTTTTTACAAAATGGATTCTGTTACGGGTTGGTCCTTCAAAAAAATTATTGTAAATATGTAATTTTACATATATTCCTACTTCTACTACAAAATGGTCAAAATGAATATTTTATCGACAAATATTATTTCGTGCTGTTAAATTTTCACCGTGTTTTTAGTTGTATCAAAACTCAATATATAATTATTTACTCACTTTTTCCTTTATTATTTTATTTAAACTTATTATACAAATATATGATTCACCGTAATCGACTGGATTGCAATAAAATTAAAATGTAACATATTCTAATATGTTAAAGGTTATATATATATGTAAATATTTCCTCCGCGCTGTAACGCGGATCCGAACCTAGTTAACTCATTATAAAAAAAGACTAAAAACTAAAGAAAAAAAAAAAAAAAAAGATATTAATAAGATGGATACAACTTGTGGGTATACAGGGCCATGGCCCATTTAGAAGATTTTTGGCTGTATCAAAGTTTGGGCTTCTAGAAGACAGACACTGAAGAAACAACAAAATGTGTGAGTCATATATTTAACTTTATTAATAGGGATATTTATATTAGAGAGATAATGATAGTATAAAAAATAAATGAAAAATCATTATGAAAAGAAAAGAAACAAACATGGCCTAGCTAATACCGTGTTGGCGTCAGGGACGAGTTTGTGGATGAGCACACTCTCTCAGTACTTGTATACTTCTGATAAAAACGAGGTTGAGGTAGGTAGGGTACTCCCCACTTGCTTCTTCACGCTCCTGTTTTTATTCGCGTGTCTTCACAACAACACCCTTCCGTGTCTGTGCCGAGGTTTTTTCTTTTGTTCTTAGCGAGGGGATGTCTAAGTTTGATTTTTCTTTGACGAAAATAAAAACTAAAAAACAATTCTAGAAGAAACCTCAACGATATACTCGTGTAGGAAACTAAAATTATAAATCATTTTTATGGTGTCGTGATTACCAGATAAATTTTGTTTCATATTTTTAGTACAATTATACTGAATTCAAGTTTCTGTTGAAATACAGTGAAGATCAGGGACTAAAACAGATCTCTCTACAAAGAAAAAACAGAAAGGAAACAAACAGACAGTAAATGTGAGATTTAGTTAAACCGAACAAAACCGAGAACACAACACAAATAACCGGGGAAACAATTGAGTCAATAGCCGGAGAAATATATATAATTTCGAAGAAATGGAGCAAGTTGAATAATTTTTTTATAATTAAAAATAGTTAGAAGTTAAAACGAAAAGGTACCTGAAGCGCGTGGGGAGTTCCGTATAAAGGATTATAGATTAGATTGTTGTCCTAAAAAAAACAAATAACGCTCTCGTAACAAATTCGCATCTCTCTCTCTCTCTCTTTCTTTTTGTTGCTTATTATCCGTTTCAATCACCTCTCCCTCTTCCTTAAAAAAATCGATTCTCCCGAATTCGAGAGCAGAGCCTCTTTTTTTTTCATTCGAAACTCTCTGTTTTGTTCTGAATTCGTGGTTGGTTAAGAGGAATTCATAAAAACAACAACAACAACAAAAAAATGACAGGCTTCTCTGTGTCTCTTTTCGTCTCCAACTTGTCAAACGTGGCCTCGTATTTGTCTCCGATCTTCGAGAGCATCCCTTCCACCAAGGTTGTTCCCGCGCAGATCGAGAAGGTTGTCTCTCTGGTTTCTCGTACCGGTAGAGATTTGCAGCGTTACGATAACTCTGGCTACCGTCAAGTCGTCGGGTACGTCTTTTTAACTCTTCTTCGTTTTTTTTTTTCTCTTCGAAACCCCAAAATTTTATCCCCAATTTGAGAAAAAAAAAAAATAGAGACCGTGGTTCTGATGTTCTGTATGATTTAGAATCATAGCTATTTCGGCATTGTTCGGTTTGTTTAAGAAATATTCATATGTTCGGTGAAAAAAAAGTAGCAATTTATAACTCGTGCACCATTAGAAGATCGTTAAACCGTTAATTAATCCCGCGGCAATTTGGAATTTCTAGTATATTTTTTTTTAAAACCGCGGGTGGTTTGGTGAAATTGTCAAAATTTGAGGACTATTTTTTTTTTTTTTAATCATATTGATTGTTTCTTCTGGAATCTCATTTTAAATTGGTCAAATTTGTGCAGATGTGTACCGTACAGATTCAAGAAACAAGAAGTCAATGGAATTGAATCCCAAGAGATCGAAGTTCTTCTTGTCAGTGCTCAAAAGAGCAAAGGAATGTTATTCCCTAAAGGGGGTTGGGAGACTGATGAATCGATGGAGGAAGCAGCTCTGAGAGAGACGATCGAGGAAGCGGGTGTAACAGGAGAGCTTGGTGAAAAGCTTGGGAGATGGCAATACAAAAGCAAAAGACATAGCATCATTCACGATGGTTACATGTTTGCTCTGCTTGTTTCTCAAGAGTTTGAGCTATGGCCCGAGGCTGAGATCAGAGAGCGCAGGTGGGTAAGTTTGGATGAAGCAAGAGAAGTTTGTCAGAACTGGTGGATGAGAGAAGCTCTTGAAGCATTCATTAACCTGAAATGTCTCACCAACGATGGAAATTAGTAGTACTCGGAAGAAGAATACGATGTTTAGAGTTGGTGGAACAGAGCATTTGACTTTGAAACCCTCTACACCGAGCTGAAGCTTCCCGAGGGATTCATTTGGTCACAGGCATCTCTCTGTCTCTTGAGAGGTGTGGAAAAGTTTTGATTGTTAGATAAAAGTCAACTCTTGTCTTCTAATTTTATTCATTCTTTTGTACTATTTGATGATTATTCATTCTTTCATTGTGAATAAAATACTAGACAGGTTCCTTTTACTAACTCAATTATTTATTCATTATGCTCAATCACTTATACCCAATGCTAATGACCATTGGAAAACATATAAACAGAAGTTTAAATGAGTAGGCACTGAAACCGTTTAAGTATCTCAATATGTGATGAGATTAACCAAGTTTTGTTAAACAAAGCAACATCAGTTAAAACAACCAGAAAGTGAACAACAACAATGAACAAACGAGCAATATTTTCCATACCACCGCCAAGACTTCAGTCTCTACTGTGAACCCACCACAAAAGATTACTCAGAGAGTTTCCATCATCAAACTTATGTAAACTCTGTATCTTCTTAAGAGCGCCGTCCTTGTTGTAAAGACTTTCCAAAGCATACACGAATCCGTTCCAGCCTTCACCAACGCCGTTTCTATGCAACGCAGGCAAAGTCCAGTTCACGAGCTGCTTCACGAATTTTAAATCGGAGAAGAGGATTTCCGACACCGGAAGTATAGGTAATAATTGTATACCAAGCCTACACTCTTTCCACTCCTTAGGCCCGAACCATAAACTAGAATCTCTCTTTGTAGACCATAAAACACCAACCACACGATTCTCCGCCGTGAAATCTTTAGGGTACAGAGCGTCACCTTCCTTCACCTGTCCAAAAAAGAAAACACACTGATCAATTAGCCGAAAAAAGAAAACACTGTTGTAGTCAGAATCCGTTTAATATGATTTTATCTTTGAATTTTGAATAACAATGTTATAGAAATAGCATAAGGAAAATTATATTTTGGTTTGGCCTTCTTATTTAGTTTGGTTTTTAAGAGGGAAATATTTATCAGTTATAACCGCTACCAAACGATCCCGCAACCGTAAGAAAGAATAGTTAAACCAAGTTTCTTGAGGTTTGGTTCTGTTCAAATGAATAAGAACATCGTTTACCTGCCACCACATTTTCGCAGCGTGTATCTCAAGCGTCATGATCGTGGAAGCCGTCTCCACCAGATGTGCGTCGCCGTAAGCTAAACCTATCAAAGCGGCAGAGTAATAAGCGTTAACGGCCTCGCTAGTGCTCTCTTGGTTCCGGCCGTCCCAGAACTCAGTTAACCCGCCAGCCCAAGAGTGTAGCTTGTAAAGATCAAAGTTTCTCAAACGCGGATAACTAGAAGTTGAATGATCACCATTTTTCCCCAATGTCATGAAATCCGCCATTAGAGAATACACTTTAGCTCTGTATCTCTTTCCCCACAAAGGATCTGTCTTAGCGAGCACGGCAATAGCGTAGAGAAAGTAACCTAGGTGGTAATGGTGGTCGTTATATATACCGAATCCAAAATCTGCATGCGAATCTTCTGATCCTTGTTTAGTGACTAAACCTCCCCATTTGGGATCATACAAAAACCCGTTTGGTTTGAAACTCCCGTCTAACCAAGGCTCTATCATGTTCTTCAGATAAGTTATGACCTTTGGAATCAAATCGAGATAGCAAACTTCTTCGGCTATTAAAACCAACCTCGCTGCTCTGGCGATTAGCTTCCCGTAGAAATACGACGAACTCGTGACCTTAGCTGAAGAATTCAAACCGTTAACGTCTTTGACGAGAGCCGAGATGATCTCGTTGTACGCATCTTTGTTGACCCCTCTGATGGAGTGCCAAGTCACTGAAACAGGTTCCGGTTTAAGTACCCATGAGTCTCCGACAACGCCTACCAAATCGCCGTCGATGCTTTTGTACCGGAACTTGTCTAAAACGGTGATTGAACGATCGTCTTTTGCCAAAAGTTGGAGATGGAGAGGATGAGCAAGCATCAGCAGATCTCCAGAGCCTCTCTTCTGCCACTTATACTCCAAAGCAAACGGCTTTATGAAATCAGCCTCACCAGAAACTGGGTAACAGCAACTGAACCGGTCGAGAGTCGTTTCAAAATCTCTATTCGAACCCGGTAACACGGCGATTCGGAGTATACCCGTAAACTCACCACGGCATTTGATCGAGGAGTCGCCGTGTTTGGTTAGATTAATTGGCGAGGAGGCGTAAATCAACCATTTCTGGTTGTTGGTGAGATTCGCTGAGAATCTAGTAGAGGAGCTATTCCCGGAAAATGACCTAACCCCATGGCTCGTTGAGATATTGATCAAGTTATCGGAGACAGAGCAGGTAACAAACGGGCTTCCTCTGACGAGGAAGAAGCTGAGATTAGAGGAAGGGAAATCCAGAGTGACCCCGAGGTCACTGAACGAAGAGATCAGATGCGACTTTCGAGAATGGGGATTGGGTTTGTCTGACCCGGAGATGATGAGGTCGGCTTTGAAAACCTCGTAGATGTAATCAGAAATTTGAAACAGAGATGGGTATGAAATGGAGAGAGAGGAATCAACGGATTTGATGAGGTAAGGGTGGATATACTCAGCCTGGTCACCGTTTTTTAGTGTGAAGTTTTGAAAGAAGGAGTTTGTGGGAAGAGGGTGAGAGAGGAGGTCCTTGCTGAAGAAACGAGCTGGCTCCGGTAAAACAGAGGATTTGGTTTCCGGGAAGAGAAAAGACCGCCGCTATCTGGTCTAGAGGAAGAAGCCATGTCTGTAGTAGTCGTAGGAGCCTAAGTTTACTCTAATCGTCGTCTCCTTCTTTGTTGCTTTAAATAGAGATTTAGAAGATGTCCAGTGAGGAATCTGTATCGACTTCGGTTGGAACTTTGAAGTAGCGCAACAGTCTTTTTAGGAAGAAACACGGTCCTTTGGTTTCCGCATTCAAAAAATGCGACGTGGCACAACTACCAATACGTTACTTTTTTTTTTTTTTGGAACTCCAATGAAGGCTAAAAGTAAAAGTAGTTTGTATATAGGCCCAACATGTAGACTAATGGGCCTGGAAAGTTAAATTTTTTTGGTGGCTTAAACCCTAGGATCTCGGAGGGATAAACCCTGATTTGTTTATCTCTCAGGCGCGCGAACGCACGGTTGATCTGATTCGTACAATCCCTTCTTTTAAGCGTTTGATGACATTTCCTCTTGTCGGAATCTACTCTCTATACCTTTGAAATGGCGGATTCTAGTGCTGCTGAACCAACCGGTCCTACTCCGAGCACCGTGGGCTCTGATGAGAACGCTACCCAGATTCAGCCGATCCGGATGCCAACCATCGAGGAGATCCGAGCTCAAGAGGTTTGGAACAACTGCGCCGTTCGCGCTGTAACTAGTGGAGTCATGGGTCAGTTCAAAATCTCCTCTCTTTCTCGGATCTTTATTGCTCCATTACTTGATTTATCGAAAAAATTTAATACTTCACTTCATAGGTCAATGAAAATACTAAAAAGTCTTACTGGGTCCTTTGAGTTATTTGAGGATAGTGAAATTAGTTGTACATTCTTTAAATTTGGGGAAAGTGTTTAGCTTGTTAATAGTTGATATGATTCTGAGCTGGTTAATGAGACTCACTTTCTGATTTTGCTAGATGAATTGATGGTGTGAAATCTCAAATCGTATCAGTTGTTATTCTATAAATGTAGCAAAGGAAACTATTCTGTTACTACTCATATAGATGCCCTCCGATACCAGAATTTTATTCTAAAGTTGATGATGAATGAAAATTAGGCATGTGAGGATATTCAATTGACTTTTACATTCTCTGTGAATTGTGGTGTAGGAGGAGGTCTCGGGTTGATGATGGGTTTGTTCTTGGGGGCATTGGATAATCCTATAACGAATGATACGATGACGGCAAGGCAGCAGTTTGTGTTTACAGCAAAACAAATGGGGCAAAGGAGTTGGAATTCCTGTAAGACATTTGCGGTTATGGGTTTGGTTTTCTCAGCAGCTGAATGCATCGTTGAGAAGGTAATACATTGTTGAAGGATATTTCACTACTAACTCTTGCTCATAACTTCAAAACCTTGATTGTTCCTTTTACCTCTCTGAAAAAGGCGAGGGCAAAGCATGACACGACAAACACCGCTATAGCTGGATGTGTGACTGGTGGTTCGATGTCCGCTAGAGGTAAATCTTTTCCTATCTTTGGATGCACATTTATGTTAACAATCTCAACACCGACTTTATCTATTCGCAATGGCATGATTCCAAACTCAAGTCTCCTAGTTATATTTGTTTTCTTACATAATGAGTTCTTCGTTTGATTTTTCTTATGTGTTCTTTTCGGCTGAAGTGATATAAACCTCTTTGCAATGTGCTTACATGATACATTGTATATATGGGGTTTTAATAGATTAATTTTGTTTCAGGTGGGCCAAAAGCTGCGTGTATAGGTTGCGCTGGTTTTGCAACCTTCTCTGTACTCATAGAGAAGTTCTTTGATAGGCATACATAACTCTGTGAGACATCTAACATACGCCATTGCTGAGATTTTTTTGCTGCTTAGTGATACAGTTCATCACTTGAGCACTGGGAAAGAGAAACTAGACTTACACTTTTAAACATAGAATAAGCGAGGCTTGTGTTTATTGAATATTCTTCAACTATTGTTGTTATTTATCATAGATTTCATTAGACTTGAGGGCTCTCCAGTATTTAAGTAAGTGTTCACAGAATTTGAGGGGCTTCTATATGCACAAAGTTACAATCTCTAGAGTTTGAAGTTACGTCCTTTTTAATTGTACCTCCAAAATGCTCATATATTAATCTGCATAACGTTTACTTTTTAAAGAATCATAGTTTTCTAACAGAGGTCGGACAGATATTCATAAAGGAGACCTTAGATTGAAACAGAGTTACAAATAGATAGGTGGTCAAACAAATACACTGTAAACTGATTTGTATATGAAGAAAAAAGTAACTGTCTTCTTGATGTGAGACAGCAGAAGAAACTTCATTACAAGAATTACATGTGGTTGAAAAGTAAATTCACTTACCAATTCGAATTTAGATTTGGTTCCTGGAGTGTTATAATCCAAGTCACCCAGCAATGGCGAAACAATATCTCGCGGATCATCATAAATCGATTCTAAACTGTACAAGAAGGGTGTACTTGCGCTAGGAGCATATACGTGCTCTTCTTTGGCTTTTCTGTTCTTCTGCAGTTACCAGTGACAAAGATGATGTAACTTCTCTTTCGGATAGGCATCTCTTGAATGGCCTGAACCCGCTTGCAGGATTACAGGATCCTTGTTTTTCTAAGAAGCTTAGCCGTTTCTCTGCATTCTTCTCCAAGTTCTCAGACATTTCTGTAACCGAGCCAAAGGCATTAGAACCAGTACAAGACGCTTCCCAAATTCCAAGAGATAAGTCAGTATCAACGTGCCTCGAACCAATGTGCAATGTCGAATTCTTGATCCCAGAGCAGTGATTCTCTTGCCCTGTCATTGATTTACGATCATCATCATCTGTGTAAGAGGGTGGTTTGTGAGATTTTTCCGGAACAAGAACAATCTTGCCGAAAAGCACAATGCTTGACATGGGTGTAGCATCCTCTTTGAGGGATTGCTTGGAAGTTGCGTAGTCATTCGTTTTAGTAATGGAAGTTCCACCAATGGATTGAAAGTCACTTGTGCAAGAGTTAGGCGACGAGCATCTGTTGTTTTGATCCTCAGAAGCAAATGATGATAGCACTGAAGTTGGAGACTTTGTTCCTTTCTCCATAGCTGACATGTTTGATGGAGGAGACTGAGAAAATGGAATAGGCGATTTCCGAGGATAAGGATGAGCCGGTTTTCTCTTTGGACGAGGAGGCGGGATCACAATTGCTTTATTCGATCTTTCACTTCTGTTATCAGCTTCCTGAGCCATCTGCAATGACTCAGACCAACAACTGTCAGATAACAATAAAAACTAATCATATGAGAACTGGTGATTTAGCACATTCAAAATAGACAAGACCTTGGAGAAAAACTTTTGAGCATGGCTTCGTATCTGTACAGCTGTTTTCGTACCTATGTGTTCTGCAGCAAAATCAAGACTAAGGTTGTTCAGAAATACATCTAGCAGCTATAATCTAGCACATAAGCTGTGTTGTTTGTTTAAAAGCAAAATGAAGCTTCAATTCATGAATAAACTACCTTCAATTTGACGCCAACCACGACCATAAAGCTTAATGGCTTCAAGAAACCTCTCATGCTCTTCCTCAGTCCACTTCTCTCTCTGCTTAGTTACTGTGTACGGTTTCCTAACCTTGAAGAACAACAATAGACAGAGAGGTCAGACGAAATGTGTAAAATAAAAACCCTGAAACTTGTCTTCTCAATTCTTTGAAAAAAACATATACAGTACCTTGACAACGTTTTCAAGCCAATGACTGGTGGTTTCAGGATTAGTTCCTTCATTGGAATTGCAAATTCCATTTTCAACATTGCTGCTTAGCTCCTCACTTCGAACATCAGCCTACTTGTTCGAAATTTAAAAGTTTGTTTATTCTTGAAATTCTCCAAAGAAGAATCTTTCATTCATATAAAATCTACTTCAAATTCGATAAGCTACATTAAGAAAGGTCGTAGTTAATTTACCTCAGCGGCCATTAAGGTAAATATTATGATAAGCTGCTAATATCACAATTCCAGCCTGAAACTCGAAAAACCCATAAGGCTAATTCAGATTTGTTCCATAAACAATCAGAACGAAGAGACGACAATAGGGGGGAAATGAAAGTAAACCTCTCTGCCACGCCGAACAGTGTATAGATAAGATGAGATAATCTTCTGATCCTTCTTTTTCCCTTTTCTCGAGAAATCAAATTCCCGCAAACAGCAAGATTTTTTCCCGAGAAGAAAAAAAACAAAATGAATAGTGAGAAGAGGAGACGAGTGAAGAGAAGGAGAAGGTACTAGAAAGAGCAGTTTTGTTAAATAGCCGATAAGTGCCACGTTGGATTATTATTATTTTAATGTGATGGAAATTTCGAGAAGGTACAACTGATATGTTGTGGCTCAGAACGAACCTAACCTATCACTCACTCTCCCTCCATTGGCCGTGAAAACAACGCGCTTCGTCCACAAGACAAGAATCTCATCATCTTGTTGTTTTGTTTTGTTTCTCTTCTCAATCGAAAAAAGAACGGATAAAGTGTGGTGCTGGTGGAGACGAAGAGAGAGATATTGATACGAGAGAGGTTTTTGTGATAATTGTGAAGATATTTTTTTTGTTTGTTTTCGTTTTCGATCCGTCTCTGACTTCTTTTACCCACTTGCTTCCGTGATATTACCCTTTGCCCCCCATCAACTAGTTTCGTTGTTCATTTTATAGCCTTGCACTTCTTCTTTTTTTAAATTTGTAGAAGGAATGAGATTAAACACTTCTTAATTTCTTATTAATCATTTACTGATCTAGTAAAAGCATATTCATGTAACTAAATTCTTTTTTTTTTCCTTATTTACACCTCCTAATTTTCGAGCAAAAGGAATACAACAAAATATCCCGAGCAATTGATTGATTGATTGAATATATTATCTCTTTAGTTTTTAAATATTAAAAGTTCAGACCAAAAAATTATTAGAATATTTAATGAATGGGATAATTGGCAAATCAGTCATATCACATGGTGTTGATGTGACAACGGTATCAACTTAAAATCACAGGCACTATCATAGCCACAATTTTGATACGCACCAGATCAGACCCCATTCCCCTCAAAGATTTCGCCCCCCCCCCCCCCTCTATTTACACATTTATGATCTCCTTCCTTCTTTCTTACGCAATTTCATTATTTTATCTTACACTTGTCTACAAGATGTTAAAGGTTCAAAACACTCATGTCTCAACTCTTGTGGCAACTTTTACAAGGCAAAGATATCAAACGTGATCTTTCTGATTCATAAACATCATCGGAAAAACCCAATTCAAGATGTGTTCTTCTACTAAGTCCAAGTCCTAATATATAACTCTGTACAATCTCTCCTAAAGGCCTTAAGGTTAATAAACCCTTTAAGTGTACACACAGCTTACCATATATTATTTCAGTTGTTGGGTGGCAAACTACTGATTTGTTGTTGCTGAGGACTCAGGTTTTCAATTAAATGGTCATTTTAGCATTCCAAAGGACTTCAATGGTCTTGTTCAGTTGCTAGGCATTACTGGAGTTCTGTATCTCTATTTCTGCCATCGAAGGAACCAAGTCTTCATCGAACCTGTCTGTTTTATAACTGCAACCTCCTATGTAGTCAGATTCAAGCAAAAAGTTTTCAGAAAACCAAAGGATAAGCACTTCTTGATATCTCCACTAGACCAAAGTGAAAACTTACCGTGAATCTATATGTGCTACTCCATGCTTGACACTCAGTCATTGGTAGGTTCTTCATCATTCTTCTTGAAAAATATGCAAAACATGGCAGTTTCAATACAATACCAAGATAAAAAGCAAAGGAAATACTACACTACTATTTTCGATCACCAATTTTGTCATATAATGCGAGTGATGCAGCGAAAGGACCAAACCTCCAATACAGATTTAGCTTCAGAATCAAATGTTTTGCATAGTATCTCATACTTCACAGAGAGAGTCTGCAAAAAAAATGTTGTAGATGTTCTTATAATGAATGCCTTATTCAAAGATAATAAAAAATAAGACTACTGATTTTGTACCGGAAGATTAGCTTCTGATGGTGAAATGCTTGATATTCTGTATCTGTAACAAAAACAAATGAGATATCAGATGTTTGGAAGAGATAAGCAAAGACTTGAAGGATAAAATTACTGAATATAGCAAGAAATTAAAATGTTAGGAACCCATCAACACTTCCACGGAATCTCATCTGTTACATGGAATAAAATTCATCTGCCAAAAGGTTTCATCTTACCCTAGCTTGCTCATGTAGAAACTCATTGCCAATGCATTAGATGTTAGAACAGTTAGCACGATAGCACTCATCCGATTCTGAGAAGAAAATTAAAAACATCACCATATAATCATCAAGCTATGAATCTGAAAACAGAAGCTTGAACCATAAATATCCAAAAATGAGGAATATGAGAGTGAGACTAATTCTGCAATCTACCTTAGAAGCAATGCGCTCAATCAACTGCATTAAATAATCTCCTAGTCCTTTTCCTTGAACCCGGGATTCTAGCTGTATCTCATACACATAAAGAACAGGTACCTCTTCCTCTACAGTAAACCGGTAATGCACAAATCCAGCTATCTGATTACACCTTTCCATACAAGTTCTTCGAGCAGATGTTTCATAGGACTTACTATAACGCAGCTCAAGCACAAATATATAATGTGCGTCTACAGACGACATCTCCTTACGCTTCACCTTTGCTTGTATTCGCCAATCAGAGCCATAGAACCCTTCCATGTTCGTCTGTGAAATCAGAAACATCATGCACAACAATAATTCAGACGAATTCCTAAAGAATATATGTTCAAAAAAGTTAGTACTGCTTCATTCTCCTATTTACCTTCAAGAGCTTTTGAATGTACTGCTTCACAGATGAGGAAAGTCTATCTCCACGGCAAGATTCCAGGTACACAGATAAATCTACAAGACGTAAGAACCACACAAACACAGAGTTAGCTCAGTGCCAAGACTCTTTCTGTAAATTTAAACCAAACCAAGTAGTTCCTGAAAAAAACTTATCAGCAAAAATGGTCATAACTAAGTAATCAGAGTTGATCATAGATTACCAAAGTATGCATGAGCAAGGATTCACAGATATATCTGAAAATCCATGTAATCTATGTTAAAGAGCACGACTTCAAACTTACAATGCATCTACTTCATATTATTTTTTATCATCAGCAATTGCAATACGTGTTTATGCATTAATTCAAACCCTATACGTGAATAAGAAGGAAATCAAATAGGGCAGAAGCAAAATTACCATTGCTTTGGTAACGACGGAAAGAATCAAATGGAGAAAGAGGATCGACAATGGAAGAAGCTTTTTTGATAAGGTCATGAATCGTTTTTTTCTTCTCCAGAATCTGTATAGCAAGTTTCGAAACATGTAAAATTCCGAATGCTATGGAAACGTACAAGTTACTTCCGAGATGTTTTTACCTTTCGCCGTTTCTTCAAATCCATTGCTCGCCCTCTCACCGGTGATCTCTCCTCTCTCTCGTTCCTTCTCCCCGTCTGAAATGATTCTGGAGGAGCCGGATCCATTAAACGGGTTTCGACTTTCGACCCGACTCAGATCCGACAATAATATATGACATAAGCCCAAAAGTCCAGAAGTTTATTCGTTCAAATACAAATAGAGAAGCCCAACTGTTGTTCTGTCCTAATTTTCCAGTAGATTTTTTAGATGAAAACTTTATAAGAAAATCAGTTTGATCAACATGAGAACGAGTTGGTGATAGCAACAAATATTTAAAAGTTGTATGATCAAAATGGTAGTTTGATTGATTTTCAGTTTGATATTTGTTCACATAGATTCTAAACACAACAACAAATTATTGAACAAAAATTTGAAGTTTCTGTTGGGCACAAAAGATGAATTTAGGTCTGAGAAGCTTTTTTCTTCTTATCAGAAACAGATGAAGATTCATCAAGTTTAGACTGACCAAAAACAGACCTGCAAATAAAAGTTTATGTATATCAGAAACAAAGACCTTGATAGATTATTATTCTGATTTACTGAGAAAGAAGAAGATGGGATCAAATCTCTCACCCGCACGTTGAACATTTCTTGTGATGCTCACAGAAAATGGATAGACACACTGAGCATATGTAGCCCATATCGATTGTCTTCTTGTGGCAAAAACACCTGCAAGTTGTGTACTTAAAACCATCAGTTATACATGCAGGGGAGACCCGATTAATTAAAGAGTCCATAATTTGATCACTTACGATGCTCGAAAATCAACACCTATGGGTTTAGGAAGTTGTACAAAACCGCGGGAGTGCAAATCAGTTGCAAAGATTGTCTTTTGTGCATAACAAAACAAACAAAAGTTAGCTAAATGAAACGAGTCACATAATGGTTTGAGTCTAGACTTGAGTTGAATGTGTACCGTTAGATACTGAAACAGCCCATCCAACTGTTTAGGTGTGTGATGTACACCGCCTGTTATATAAGATGCCTACAAATTTGCCAGGTAGTAAAATCGAACGCATAGGTGGGAGAGTCAGGAGTTGAAGATATGATAAATGGTATTACCTGCTGCAAAAATGCTGAGTTCTGTACACCTATGTAACATGAATCTATGGGAACCTAAAGAACAAATGATGATGTGACTTGAGTTTGAAATTTTGAAAACAGAAATCGCTAAGAACCAATCAAAATGAAGATTACCATTAAGCGCTGGGCAGAGAAGATAGAGTTCATAACAGCTACATATCTAAAAAAGAATAAAGCCCTTAATGAGTCCAGACATACAGGAGAAAATATTGCCAAGTAGAAGAAGAAAAAGGTTACAGAAGACCATACTGTTCCGGGCCATCTGGGGAACCTTGCAAGCATAAAATCTGTATTTCATACATATGCCAATAGCACTATCAGTTCTACTTTATGGGGATTTGCAATGGAACAGATAAATCATAATAGAGACGAGTCTAAGTCTATATGAAACAATACTTAGCTGAAAATCCCTACAGAGGAATCAAGAATATATTATATATGACAATCGATTGACATGTATATCATACTGAAAACGCACCCGGGGCTGGGGATGAAGATGTCCAGAACGGAAGACCCTCTGTATATCTAGCCAGATAATTTAAGCAAAACATTTAAAAAAAAAAAAAAAAACACTGATAAATCAAATATATTACCAGATGGCCCTAGACATGCTATAGGTTTGGCAGAGAAAAGTGGAAGATAAGCTTTAAGATTACTAGCAGATGTTATGCAAACAAAGCCTATAAATTTATATATGCAAAAACCACACCGAAAAAAAAAAAAGAGTGACCAAATGCTATATGATTTGAATAGAGGATACAGCAAAGAGCCATGGAGAGTGATCCTGATAAGAGACAAGAAGGTGTTCTATCCTCATTTCCCTCCTCCCTGCTGAGCTCCTCATCTTTGGTAACAAAGTCTTCCAATTTGTTCAGCAAAGAAGCAAAAAGAGGAGGCATCCCAGTTCTGTCTCTCTCGAAACTCCCATGATTCGATGTCAAAGAGGAATCATAAATGTACTCACAGGAACTGTACCCAGTAGCTATAACAACAACTTGGTTCAATTGATTTAACCCCAAAACCGCATTCAGAAACGCAAGCACCTACACATAAACAGCAATCACCAGAAATCTGAATAACAAACAAAAGAAGCATTGAACAAACAAGCAAATCATTTCGTCAGAAACGACACTTACATGAGAAAGGAATTGAGAGAACGTGATCGAAGTAGTGCTCCAGAAAAAGGGATTTGTATCAAGCAACAAAACTAGTAGGCTAACATCGTCTGCAACCACACAAATCACGATCAATCAGACTTATACGAATGCAGCATTAATGATTGACGCAGGTATGTTAGGGTTTCGAAGAAAGGAGGAATCTGATAAGACCTGGATACTGTTTAGAAGCAACCGAAGGCATAGCCACACAAAATCCAAGTCAGAACTACTACAGTGTGCCGGGAAATCTTCCCGGTGGAAACGAGATTCGATATGCTAACTCAGTGCCGCGAAATCGGCTTTTACTTCTCCAATAGAATCTATCTGCACAACAAGTCTAGTGGTCTCCGATTACGAACCAAAATTTAGAAATCGAAGTTTCGGCTGCTAATTTGAAGAACACTTCCAAAAATTGATTTTACAGCAATCCGGTAGGAGCCGGGTCCATCAAACGGGTTTGTACCCGTATTATACGACGCAAGCCCAATTATGCCGTTCGTTCATATTCTATATAGAGGCCCATTAATAAATTCTCAATTACTTCGAAGATTATCTCAATGAATTTATTACATCTTCAGAAATATATTTTTTTTTTTTTTTTTGCTAAACTGCAAATATCATAGATATGAAAAGGTTTGGTTTTGCAACCATTACAACATTGGTTTCCTGGCAAAAAAAGTGGAAAACAGGAAAGCAATACAAAGATAGACTAGATAAATCAAGAAGGATCACAAAAGAAACAATTTCTTCTCAGCCACCTAGCCATTAGGGACTTAAAACTCTTCTTGATACTCCTTGCTGTGATGGAATTTTTTAGTTCCCTGTCGATGTCTTTGAACAGCACCGATGGAGGGATGTGAACCTGATTATGCACCACATTGTTTCTTTGTTTCCATAGGGCATAAATGACAGCTTCGGCTACTAACTTTCTCAACGTTGTAGGCGATCTGATGTTCTTTGTTTTTGTCCAAGCTATCAACTCCATCCAGTTCTGAAATCGCAAACCGGGAAGGCTCAGCCTCCTGCTTACTGCATTCCAAATATACAAAGCATAATCACACGTCAAGAAGAGGTGATCCCTCGATTCCTGATTGGTATTGCAGAGATCGCAGATTGGGTTGATGTTAACCCCCCAATTAGCGAGCCTTGTCTTTGTTGGGAGCCTGTCCAGGTTTGCGATCCACATATTAAAAGCATTTCTTGGAATAGCTCCTTTAAACCAAACAGATCTATGCCATGAAACCTCTTCTGCTCTTGGTCTTAGGACAGACCATGTTTTTGAGGACGAGTAGCCCTCGCAGCTCTTTCCTTCTATAACCCACGCATAGGAGTCCTCCTCAATGGCCTCATAGGGATTAGTAATGGCTGTCAGATGAATTTGTAGATTTAAGGCCTGTTCTGATCGAGGATCAGCCATTTTCCAGCCATTGCTATTGCAGACATCTCCAACCTTAGCATTAATCCGAATTCTGAGACTTCTAGGACCGTTTTCACCAATATACTTGATTAAAGGGCCAAAAGGAGTCCAATTATCAAACTAAAAAATTTATACGAAATCCATTATGTATGTACATAAGAATATTTCTGACAGAAAGATATAGAATTTCTTTTTGATTCAACATCAACGATTGTATCAAAGACTAAATGAATCATATGTATAATATATAAAACGTTATAAAATTGACAAACAAGAACTTGTTTGAGTTGTTACATTATTTCAAAATCTCATATTCTTTTCATACACTCATGACAGTGAAACACAATCTTGTTTTTCCTGGGCAAAACACAATCTAAACGATACTCGCTCCGTTCTTTTTGTACAGGTGTGTCCACTAATAAGAATCTAAAGATCTTATCAATAATTATAGTATTTAAAATTTGGCAATATCGGCGATGGCCATTGGAAAGTTTTTTTTGCACGATGGCCTAAAAATAAATTATTGGTTGGTCATTTTCACTAGACGTCCATATATATTAAAAATAAATTATTGGTTAGCCTCCATGGTACATTGAACCTCATAACATTCATGTTAACTCTTCGACACAAAATATGGAATTATACATTCCACTTGTTTACTCTATTACTCTCCATCAAGTTAATTAATACTCTTTTAAACAAAAATGTAATTAGTATTCTTATCCAAGTATGAATAGTGAGAGTTAATCATGCCATCTCATCGCAATCCATAATAAGCCAGTATCCGGGTAAGTAGACAGATTACAGTCCCATGCATTTAATCTCGTGCTAGATTTATCATAATCACTAGTTGCCATTTTTAGTTAAAAATTAAAACTAAATAAAATGATAGGATTTAATCAGCTACTATATATAAAAACCAAGGCTCCTCACTTATCAAGAGTCCAAATAAAAGCTGCAGTTTCCATCATTCTTCTTCTTCGAAATTCTCCGGATCATCATTATCACTTGTATCTCTTCCAATTTCAATGGCTCTTGTTCGTGAACGCCGTCAGATCAACCTCCGTCTACCTCTTCCACCTCTCTCCGATCGCCTCCCTTGTTTCTCCTTTCCTTCCTCCACCGCCGCCGTCACAACCACCGCTTTTGCCAACGGAATCTGCGCTTCCGATATCGAGAAACTCCACGTTCTCGGGAGCGGAAACGGTGGGATCGTGTACAAAGTCCAACACAAAACCACCGCGGAGCTATACGCTCTGAAAACAGTCAACGGAGACAGGAGCCCGAGTTTCACAAGACAATTAACGCGCGAGATGGAGATCCTACGCCGCACAGATTCTCCTTACATAGTCCGGTGTCACGGGATCTTCGGGAAACCAACCTCCGGCGAGGTTTCGATCCTCCTCGAGTATATGGACGGCGGAAACCTAGAATCTCTCCGCGGCGCCGTAACCGAGAAACAACTCGCAGGATTTTCCCGCCAGATTTTGAAAGGACTGAGCTATCTCCACTCTCTCAAGATCGTTCACAGAGACATCAAGCCTGCGAACCTCCTCTTGAATTCGAGAAACGAAGTTAAAATCGCCGATTTCGGTGTGAGCATTATCATGAACCGGTCGTTCGACTACTGCGATTCGTACGTCGGCACGTGCGCTTACATGAGCCCCGAGAGATTCGACTCCGTCGCCGGAGAGAACTCCGATGTATACGCAGGCGATATATGGAGTTTTGGATTGATGATCCTCGAGTTATTCGTCGGACATTTTCCGTTGCTTCCTCGGGGACAGAGACTTGATTGGGCGACGCTCATGTGCGCCGTGTGTTTCGGAGAACCGCCGCGTGCGCCGGAAGGATGTTCCGACGAATTTAGGAGTTTTGTTGATTGTTGTCTACGTAAAGAATGGAGTGAGAGGTGGACGGCGTCGCAGCTTCTCCGTCACTCTTTTCTCCGTCAAAGTGTATAGATTGACCCGATTGCTCTGTTACGGGTCTGTGGATCTTTATTACTTTTTTCAAATAGTTTAATTTTGGATAGCATAGTTTAATCGCATTGCATGAAATAAAATATAATTATACGAGGCTCCAACAAAAATTAAGAGGCGGCTGCGTATCGAATTTTTAAATGTGAGGATGACACTTTGCAGAGCAAAAATCTTTTGAAGATTTTCGGAAAGATGCGCTTTAGCTGAAGAACTAGTAGTCTTCTAGTAACTATCATTTATACAAGAAATGGTTACGACAACCACTTACATTGTTACAAAATCGTATATTCATTACAATAAAATGTACGTGAAACCAAAATGGTGTCGAGATCAAACCTAAGAAACAGAGAAACTCTTATTAGGTCTTTCTTTCGTCGCATTTGAGCTGCTACATTTGGTTTGACCAATTTAAACCCGCTGGTGTAGCCAATCCAATATGACCCCAGCGATACTTTCCCGTTCTGGTTCAAAGAGCAGATCGTGAAGCAACCCATCGAACAGCTTGATTGACTTATCCAACGAGGAAGCCTCCTCGTATAGCTTCTGAGTACCTTTGGGATCAGTAACTGTATCAGCTGTTCCGTGTAGCACAAGAAATGGGACCTTGATTCTGTTCAGATTCCGCAGCAAATGGGCACCAAGTCTTAGGATCTCGTTACCGGTTCTTGCTCGGATAAACCCAGTGTAGACTAATGGGTCAGAGTATTTGGCCACAACAGCTTCCGGGTCACGAGAAACCGGCATTATTTTCTTTTTTGCAGCACTTAGTTGATATCTCGGTATGAGCAGCGCAAGGACCGGTGCAATTACCTGTTGAAAAAGCTCCATTTTTCACGACAAAAGCCAAAAAAATGTTTGTGAAAGTTGTTCAGATTCTTGAGGTTTTTAGATTTGACTTACGCCGAAGATAGGATGAGATGGTTGGACTCCAACTGCGGGTGAAGTTAGCACAATCCCTGCAACTCGAGCTTCGATCTTTGCATCAAGCATAGCCTGCAATAACAATTTATATACATACGGACGGTTTCAAGAGCAGTGACATGAACATGTTTGAAGATCTTTTAACCTTTAAAATGATGGCTCCTCCTGTTGAATGGCCAACGCAGAAACAGGGCATTCCCGGGTTTTCTGCAATTACCTTCTCCAAAAACGATTTCTGCAAATATTTTTATTTCATAGCCAGTGTAGTGTTCAAGCAGCAGTCCGAGTTAAGCAAATGGCATGTCTTGGAAACTGAAAAGAGATCATACCAAATCAGCGACAGCATAATCAAGAGAAGGAACATAAGCATGAAGTCCATCGCTTCCACCATGACCTATATGAGCAAAGATAAAACTTTATTGAGTATCACAATAGATAAATTATATATACACTGATAAATGCTTAACACGAAAACTTTAAATTGGTAAAGTGGTTTTACCGATCCAATCTATTCCATAGACCTTGAATCCTATAACATTTAGCTGCTTTGCGAAATCACTATACCTGCCACTGTTGAGCGTTTGTATTAATTCACCTTAAGCTTCTTATATGGAAGTAGAGTTTATGATCAAACTCAAAAGCTACACAACAAACCTGTGTTCGTTCAGACCATGTAGCAGAACAACAAGTCCCCTGCAAGCAAGCTCACAGAATTATATCAGCTTTAGAACCTAGGAATCCAAACAAGATCTTCTTCACATGAATATTAACAACTAGTCCCAAGCAACGACATGATGAAGGCAAGAAATGTTACCAAATAAAACAAATCCTTTGTAGTGTTAGTCTAAATAGCTCTTATCTATAACCTAAGGAAACTACTAAAACCATTGAATCCAAAGTAATACTAGGACCAGCTGAGAAAGCGAAATAGGAATCCAAGAAACACCCCTAGAAAAACGACACCATTATCATTTAAATTCTCGTGAACCACAGGTCTCAAGACAGAGAGGGGACCTCGTTCTAGTTGCTTTTAGTACCCAACATAGCCAAAAAGCTTAAAAGATCTTTCATTACTTACTAAGTTTTCCAGAGAAACAATGGAATCAATCATCAGTAAGAGACAAAACAAGTAACAAACGAGAATTGACCTGATCTTAGTGGAGTCAACAGGTGTCCATGACTGAGTGAACAACGTGTCACCTCTCTTGGACGTGAATAGCGAGAAATCTCTGACGGAGCTTCCATCGCCACCGTTATCCTCCAAAACCCGCCTCATTGCCAAATTCCGTCTAACAGCCACTTCATCATCAACCACTGTCGTCGTCGCCGACGGCGAAGAAGGGGAAACACCACAACCGATGTTCCTCTTCTTCCTCTTCTGTGATGATCTTAACCTCATTGGCACCGCGTCCACCGACACTGATGAAAGTCGAAAATCTGCGACATTAATCTGGAAACCATTTCGAATTCGAGACCCGTTCACATGAAATCCAGATGATTTTTTTATGGGTAATCTGGGAAATGAGTTTCCAGTAGCAATCACGATCGTTCCTCTAATTGAACAGATCATAAACGAAGAGAATTCAAAGACGATTTTGTCTCGCCTTTCTTCTCCAAAATTTGAATTTTCAAAAAATTTTGGGGGTTTTCAGAGCTTAAAAGTAAAAAAAAAAATGAAGAAAAAAATGAGAAGCAGGATCGACAAGACAGTGAAGCAATTGGAAAGTGAAAATCTTTCTAAGGAATGATTCGAGAGAACAGCAACAAACATTTATATTAAAAAAAGGGAAAATGTATTTTTTTTTTTTGGTTAATAGCTGAGATATGTTTATTTTATATGGTTGTCCAGCGAAAAGGACGAGGAGAGACTAGAGAGTCTTCTAAATATGGCACGTGGCGCATACTTGTTTTCAATAAAACGCAGCGTTTGTAAAACTTTTGGTTCAATGGCTTATTACACAGAAATAAAACATACACAAAAAATGCTTCACAGATGAAGAAGATTTGAGATGTTGTCCCAACCAATGTTCCACTGCCTTTTGTCAGAAGGCACAGCGAAGTTGAGCTCAAACATCTCTTTTGAGATGTTACCACTTTCGCAGAATCCAACAAGCTTCGCAACTATCTCTGCACTCTCTTGCACGTGCCTTGAGTCGTAAGGATCAGTCCATAGCTTGTTCACGAACTGAAGTTTCCTCTGTTTCCCTTCCAATGGCACATCCCATTTCATATACAACTCCTCTCTCTCCTCAGGCGTCAGTCTCGAATTTACCCTTTTCGCCAAAAACTCTCGCTCTCTTCTCAATGCTTTTATACTGAAAACCAAACAAGACCATTAATCCAAAAAACGTAACGTTTGTGAAACTATTTCTAAGTGATAAATTATTTCATTCATTAATTACCTTGAAGATAGAGAGACTATGGATTCATCGCAGTTTCGAGCTGGAGTTGCGTTACCTACTTCTGCTAGATGCTGTTCTAACCAAGTCAACCGTCTTAGCTCGACTTCCATGTAGATTTGATCGGCTTGATCACCTTTGAATAGTAGATAGAACTGTGTCCTGTGGATTATCGAGACGTGGCAGACATGCCACAGCTCTATGATCTGTTGTCTTTCTTCTATGAAAGTTATATGCCACGCAACTTGACTCTGCTCTTCATCTTCCATTATCGTGTTCTCCTCGTTCTCTACACTATATCCAGCTCCATCATTTGCTTCCAACTCAAGCACCTGCACAAGTTAGAAACAGATGAGAAGATATATAAAGGAGCAAAACAGGATTTATTCTGAGGGTTTGTTTTCTTTGTCTAACCTGACAAACGAGAAGTTGTTTCTGGTACTGTAGTTTAGCTACACGTTCTTTGAGTTCAGTTACGTATGCTCTTATGCTTCTCACGTTCTCCTCTGCTGCATTTTGGAACATTTGCTGCATTTTCTTCATGTTCACAGAGCTTGATCTCCTGTAGCCTGGAGTGCTTTCTCTTGACGAGACATCTCCGCTTTCTTCTCCTTTCTGTGGAGTCTCTTTCTCAGACCCTTGTGGTGTCGTTACCCCTCTAGTTGCTGAATTGTTGTTCTCTTGAGGATCTTTGTTCTCAGCATCACAATCCAAGACTTGCCTAGAAGCGGAAAGAGGAGAGCATGGGGATTTCAAGAAGTTCTGGCGGTTGGATACGCTGCTTGGTGTCAAAGGAAGAAGCTTCTTCTTCTTTGATTGATGATGATGATGATTCTTTGTCTTTGGGGTTTCATCTCCAGCATTGATATTGCTCGGAAGAGACATCACCAACTTATCTATTGACTTCTGAACGCTCTCAAGTTGCTCCTCTAGATTTGCAATGGTGCTTCCTTGTGAATGGAGCCTTGTTATCTCTTCCTTGAGATTGGCACTTACACTCTTGTTAGGAGCTATGACATCTCCAACACCCACAACATCTTTAAGCATTGCGGACGGTTTAACAGTACGCATTTCCCTTATCTCTGCTTGGAGCTTAGCTATCGTCTGAGCTGCATCTTGATTCCCTAGTCTATGGCAAGCTACTTCCTTCTGTAGCACTTCAAGAGCTTTCGTTGCTTCCTCTCCTAGCTGTTCTTGAAGGTGTTCAAGTTTGCGGATTTCATGCATCAATGTAAAAGGAGCAGTTGATGATTGTCGTATCATAGATTGGCGTATTGTAGTCTTTCTAGCTCTCTCATTTCGGTTTAATGTTTTGTTCTCCGCGGTAGGAGTCACGGCAACAGAATAGGAAAGACATTTTCTGACCGGTGGGTCTGGGGATTCAAAAGGATTTAAGCCCTGAGATACAACAAAAGGTTTAGCTTATGCGTGTGAATAAATTTAGCACAGTAATGAGCCAGAGAGGTACACTTAGAGACCTTATCTTGCTGCTGATCCCCTTGAAGCTTTTGGCGCAATTCCTCAAGTTGAATTTGTGCATCATCTCTTTGTCTCCTAAGCTCTTCAATTTCCATTTCCATCTAAAAAAAAGTCACAAAAGAGACAAAACCTAAGTACCAAAGCTTGTGTTCAATTATATATTTTGGTGTTTGGACAAAGCTGAAGTAAAATAGAAACCTGCTGGATCTTGAAATCCTTTTCTCTTGATGGATCAGGGGTTCGACGCTCGGCCTCCAATCTAGCCACTTCTTTCTGAAGATGTTTCACTAGTTGCTTATCAGAGACAACCTGGAGATGGTAGAGGGCAAGTAAAAAATTTAGTCTGTTTTCATCCCAAAGGGCATTGAGAAGAACCAAAAGCATGGAACAAAGATCATTACCATGTTCACATGGGCGTTGTTTGTAACTTCTTTGGCTCGGTTGGCGAAGTATAGAGTATTTCTTGATTGTTCAACATGAGCCGAAGCTGGACTCAATGTACATATAATAGCTGTTCGAGCATTTCCACCTAGTGAATGCTGTAAAATCCGTGTAAGCTTGGAGTCTCTGTAAGGTATATGGCCGCTTCTTTTCCCCACACTATGAAGAGTTCACAGATTAAGATAAATTACTAACAAGTGTTTGTGATTTTAATGTCACTCGAAAAAAAATATGTTTGTACATTACCTTAATTTCCTTATGACAGTTGTAAGTGTCATTAGACTTAGATTGATATGGCAACCTTCCCTGAGTCTCGTTCCATCTGCCTGCGATTGTGATGCTCTTTCGCTTCCTGCTAAGTCCACAAAGTTCTGCAATGCATTCACACACACACTAAGTCCACAATTTTCAAGCTAAACATTATGCAAAAACAGAGAAATTGAACAGAGACGGATCCATTTTTACCAGACTAGCCATGTATGACCTCACACAATCTGAATTTTCGCGGTGAGTACTTTGTATTGTCTGTTTGCCATCAAGCATATGTTATTAGCAATTGCAGGACATATGAGTGTTTTAAGGAATTAGTGAACTAAGAAGATTACCAGTCTGATTATCTGGTGTGACCGCGAGCTGGTATCATTCAAAGCAGTTTCCCCAACTTGTCTTTGAGCTAAAACAAAAGAATATAAACTCCAGCAGTCAGTTTTATCGAACAGGAACGAACCAAGAGAATATAATCACAAAAAGCCAAAGAGAATCCAACTTATTCAAGTTACCTTCACAAATGCTAATTAGATGCCTCAAATGTTGATCATTATTAGCTGTTTCTTCAACCAGTTTTTCAACCACAGTACCTTTCTGCAATTGTGGAAAATTAGGTGATTAGATCAATGGAAAGTCTACATTCAGTCAAGGCCATAACATCATCAAGAACATAATTAGTGTGATACCTCTGGGTCATCAAGGAGTTTAAGGGCACGGCCGGAATCGGAATTCAGGAGATCTCTGACATTTTCATTATATATTTCCAGACCAGAAATCTTGATGGTAAAATCTCTTTCAGGGGTCTGGAAACAGCAGTGAAACAAATAAAGGTATTGGTCAGAAGAACTGCACTGACATCTGAAAACATTGGTTAGCAACTCTGATCATAGGATAGCATTGCTTTACCTTAATAATGTGATTGTAAATATCATTGACAGCTTTCTCCGTTACTCCTCTCATGGTGTATGTCTTTCCACTGCTCGTTTGTCCGTAGGCAAATATAGTTGCTGAAACAATAAGAAAGATTAGTCAATCTATATGAGCAATCCAAGTAAACGCCAAGAAAACAGAATTGAGTCATAAGATAGAGTACCATTGATGCCCATCAAAGCAGACAATGCAACATTCTTAACACCATCTTCATACACGTTTTCTGTTAAACTCTCTGGTCCAAAAACTTTATCTGAAACCAGAAGGATGCATTATAATCATAAGACCAGAGGAATTAAGAGTTGGAAACACAACATAAAGGTAGATTATGAACAAGTTCGAAATTACCGAATGTAAATGAGGACTGGTGATGCAAACGTTCTTGAGCTTGTGGTTTAGACACAATGGTGTGGTCATCTACGCATTCCCAAGCAACTTGGTCTTTAGCAAACAGTTCTTTCTTGTTCAGTGGCCTTAACCTAACAGTAACAACTATCTTCTCCTCCCTGGATCTTGAGCTTCCACCTGGTGTTACAGCTTGTGTTCTGTCCATCTTGGACACAGGAGTCCCAGGAGTTCTCATTGTCATCTATCTACAAAAAAATGTTTACAAAATTGTTGTTTTTATTTTGAGAAATCATCAGATCTAATAAAGCTCAGAAAATTTCCCAGAAATCTAGGGATAGTTTTAAAAATTACTCAGATCTATCTAAGGAAAAACACACATAAAGCAACATTTCGATTTGACCAAATCTAATTCATAAAAGGAAATGTTTTAGATTAATTTCATCCAATCCAGAAATGTTAAACTCAAAAAACTTCCCAAAATTTTCACTTCACTAAACAATAGTATAAGTAAGAGATCAAAAACACTTACAGAGAACCAAGAGGAATCAGAGAATTTAGTCTCAGATCTCAGGCAGCGAGGAATAAATACAGAATCGTATCAGATCGACGATAGAGACAATAAAAAAATAAAATAAAAAATAAAAGAATATAAGAGAAGGAGATAGTGAGAGAGGTTTCTGAGTATCGTGAAGCTTTTGTGGTAGAAATGATGATGATGAAGAAGAAGAAGAAGAAGAAGAAGAAGAAACGGGTTTTGGGGTTCTTTTTGTCTTTACGGAAGTCCGTGGAGAGAGAGAGAGAGAGTGAGATTTTGAATCTGAGGAAGCTCCTAACGGCTAGTTCTTTCCACGTTTCTTTTAAGGGGCTTCTATTTTTATATTATCTCAAAATATATCCCGTACATTTCTACTTTCTTCTGTAAATCACCTTAAATTTCATTTTGCTACGATTTTGAAATACACTGCTGAATATTTTTTGTCATCTTGTGAATTATTGGCTTACTAACAAAACGGTCATTTATTTTTATTGTCTTTTCCTTTTGTGCTGCAAAATAATAATCTATTTGCAATCCAAGCGGGAAATAGCTTTAATACTACTACTATCCAGTTTAATTAGCGTATAAAATACTAGTAAACTACGTTTAGTCATTTACGGGCTCACTAGGCGTAGAACCTCCTCCCCTATTGCAAGTGCGGGGATTGGAACTATTTAATACTGAGTCTTTGAGATGTGAAGTGAAGTCAAAGTCTTTTTGCCTGTGATTTTTTAGATATCTGCAAGCCTGTATCTTCTTCTTTTTTAATTTTCTTTATAGCAACTTTAGTTGAACTTGAATTTTATCATCAAAACCAAGTAAATGGGGATAAAATAGATACACGACTCTCATACCATTTAACATGAAACATGTATTATCGTTTTTCTCTTGGTCAAACTTCAAAGCTTAAAGAAACATAATAATTCCATTCTCCATCTGTGTGTTTATTTAATTCAACGATGTGTTTTTTTCTTCTATTGGATCGATACAAGTAGTCTATATCATATAGTTGACATTTTCAGGAAGATATCAAAAACCATGTTCACCTCACATTTCGTTTGATGCTATTATATATATGATTGGCACAATTTCCACTAGTCCTGAATATATTTTTTTTTCAGAATTACGGTTGAAGTCATTTTTCCAGTGAGGTTATACATGAAAGATTAACATAGATTTTAACATCATATTCTTATCTAATTCGATAATAATCTCATCTGTTCTTTTAATATATTCAGTGATTTATATATATATATATATATATATATATATATATATATTGGAAGCTTAAAAAATGCAAAAGCTTTTGTTGACATACATAAACATATAATGTTTTTTTTTTGGGGGGTCAAAGAATTAAAATGTTTATAATTTACAAATAAGTCATCATAAAACATAAGACGAACAACTGTATATATTGATATCAACTATCAAGTCGCTCTCAGGCTGTCCAAAAAAAAACAAAACCTATAGTTCCAAACAAGTCAAAGTAGCCATTTAAAGTTGTGTACGAATCTCTGACCGTTCATATACAAATAACATAATTTATCTAGGCTTATTAAATCACTAATCAGAGATCATATCATTATCTGTTCATATTTCGCCGGACTGTAATTAATAAAAGTCGTCATCGATCATATTGACCAATCTTCCATAAAAATCCCCCAAAACACCTCACAACAAACAAAAAGAAGGAAAAACTCTACAGTTGTCAAAACCCAATGTCCATCTCTCTTCTTCTCTTCACCAGCTTCCTCGTCTTCTCCGTCGCTGATCTCCCGTCGTGCTTCTCCGCCGACCAACAGTACGAAGTGTGTCGCTCACGTCTGACATGTGGATCTGGACAGCAGGTGTTCGAGTCTAACACCACGTATCCGTTCTGGGGATCTCCTAAACCCAAATTCTGCGGCCAATCATCATTCGAATTATCCTGCGAGAATAATCACACCCTATCCCTGGAAATCGGGGATATCAAACTTCGCGTTAAATCCGTGAATCTGACGGATCATGTAATTACCGTTGTTGATGAGAGCTTGTTAGACGGGAACTGCCCTGAGATTTTGAACTTCAACGGCGAGAAGGAGTTTACGCTAAACCAACACACCGAGAAGACTGATTTGTTCGACTGCCCCGAAAACGTAAGCTCGCTATCAAATATTTCTTGCCAAACAAACGACAGTCGGAAAACATATCACGTCTTTGGACCGTCGTATACTTATGTCAATGGTTGTACAAAAGTTGGAGAAATTCCCATGCTTGGCTCTGCTAAGAAGTATCTTCACCACTCAAATGAATCAAGCGGAGCATTGGAGCGGGCTTTGAAACAAGGGTTCGGTTTGAAGTACAGTATAAAGGATCGAGTCTGCCAGACTTGTAACACTTCCGGTGGGATTTGTGGTTCGGAGAAAGGGTCGGAAAATTTCCAATGTCTATGTGAAGACAAGCCTCACAAATTTTCCTGTTACGGTGATAACAAAGGTTAGTCCTTCATCATTTACATCAATATCTTGTGATTACTGAAGATTAGTTAGTTCCATCGGATCGATTCTGCACATTATAGACTTCAGAACGTATACTTTGACCAATTGGTAGTCCATTACTTGGTAGAGAATTGCTATCGTAATTGACCAAAACTTATAATAATCTTTTATAGATACATTCTGACTTTTTCAACCTAGTGATACGTGTCCTGTTTTCCATTGATCATCATACACGATATGTCCTACGTTATTTATGTGACTGTCTTCTTCGCTCCTAGAAAAATTAGGATTACATGTAGCTGGGTTTTTTTTCAGTAAAGCAAGCAGGCTGGATCGAACCTTGTGCTTTTTGGGCCAACACTAGTTATTCTCGATCCGGTAATACCATTTTCATGGTCGGTCTTCAAAGATGGAAAAAAAGCAACGACTTTTCTAACTTTCTTTTGTTTGAAGTTTCTGCTAGTAAAACCGACGACCCTAACCGACCCTCTCTTGCAAAAAAGAACACACAAATCTCTTTTACACAAACTCCATTAAAATGATTTACTCCAATTTTTAAATCAATAATTGAGAGCACTACAACCTCAGAGGCTCAAGATACAGTTTTTAAGTCAAGTTGCAGTCTTTATTTTCTTTATACCAAGAAAAATAGTACTATTATACTCTTTGCACACACTAGTTGAACAAACTTTTTACTCTCTCACCCACTCCTCTGAAAAATCTTTTGATTTGCTTTGTTTGTTTTCTATCTGTTTTGTTCTCTTCTTCTTGTTTCTTCTTCACCTAATTATCTTCTTCTCACCCTAAAAATGGATCCTTCAATTCCAAGTTTACTCTATACATCCATCTTTTACTTCACAATATTAGCAACTCAAACCCTCTCTCTTGATCCAAAGTTCGAGGCTTGTGAGCCGAAATCATGCGGCAGAGGTCCCAAGATCTCCTATCCATTCTATCTATCCGGCATGCAAAAATCCTTTTGTGGCTATCCAAGTTTCGAACTCACTTGTGATGATGATCAGAAGCTCCCTGTTCTCGGGATATCCGGTGAGGATTACCTCATCAAAAACATATCTTACTTGACACAGTCGTTTCAGGTCGTGAACTCAAAGGCGTCTCATGATGATCCATGTCCCAGCCCTTTGCATAATCTTACCCTCCACAGGACTCCTTTCTTTGTGAACCCTTCTCATATCAACTTCTCTATACTTTACAATTGCTCCTATCACCTTCTGAAGGATTTTACGTTATACCCTCTTACTTGTCCTGGAAACACGAGTCTTCTTCGATCTTTTGGTGTCTTTGACAGAGAGAAACTGGGAAAAGAGAAAAATATTGCATCCATGTTGTGCCAGAAACTAGTCGATGTTCCTGTTTCAGCTAGTAACGAGTCTGATATGAAGGGTATGACTTATGTCGAGATTTTGAAGAGGGGTTTTGTTCTGAACTGGACTGCAAACAGTTGCTTCCGCTGCATTAACAGTGGCGGGAGATGTGGAACTGATCAACAAGAATTTGTATGCTTGTGTCCTGATGGACCTAAGATTCATGATACTTGCAAGAATGGTACTACGAGTAACTAATATTTTGACATTATATTTCTTTCTTCTTTACTTCAATTTTCTCAACAATTCATTGTATTATGCTTTTTTAGTTAACTCTGATTGGTTAAATAAATGTCAGTCTTAATCTCAATGTTCTTGCGAATGCTAAGCTCTGAAATAACCCCGACTGCTTCCTTCTCTGTTTCTTCATTTCAGGCACTCGTGCTCATAGAGTGAAGGTGAAGGTCCTCATTGGTAAGATTCTTTCAAGCTTCTGTTTGGTAAAAACTAAAAAGGCTTCAACTTCTAGACTTCGATCTATGGTTATAATAAAACATACTCTTGACACCATTAAAAATATAAAATTACACTTTGGCAAAATGTGCAACTTGATTACAGTTGCTAGGTTATACTCTGTTTTTTTTCTTTTCTTTCTTCTCTTTTCTTTTTCTAGTTTATCAGTTCACTCAAGTCCTAACGGATTACAAAATATCATTCAGGTGCTGCCGCTACGGTCTTGGGGTTAATAGCTGCGAGTGTTTTTTGGTATTTGTACCATCGTAGGAAAACAAAAAGTTACAGAACTTCTTCTGCATTGCTTCCAAGAAACATCTCCTCAGATCCATCTTCAAAGTCTTTTGACGTTGAGAAAGCAGAGAAATTATTAGTAGGAGTTCGTCTTTTCTCTTACGAAGAGCTTGAAGAAGCCACTGGTAACTTCGACCCATCTAAAGAACTCGGCGATGGAGGCTTTGGTACCGTCTATTACGGTAAGCTTAAAGATGGACGAAGCGTAGCCGTGAAACGGTTATACGACAACAACTTCAAAAGAGCAGAGCAATTCAGGAACGAGGTTGAGATCTTAACGGGTTTACGCCATCCGAACCTCGTGGCTCTCTTTGGATGCTCCTCAAAACAGAGCAGGGATTTACTGCTGGTGTATGAGTATGTTGCAAACGGCACGTTAGCTGATCATCTACATGGTCCACAAGCTAACCCGAGCACGCTTCCTTGGTCTACTAGGCTCAAGATCGCTGTTGAAACTGCCTCTGCCTTGAAGTATCTCCACGCCTCCAAGATCATCCATCGTGATGTTAAATCCAACAACATCCTTCTCGACCAAAACTTCAATGTCAAGGTCAGTAACTTACACTGGTTATTACTTATGTTTGTACTTGAGTCGGACCTTGATTTAGTCACCGGTCTTGATCTGGCCATGTAGCCCCCATCATTGTATGATATTGTCTTATCATAATCTTAACTTAGTTCTTCTTTTTTCCTGTTTTCGACATACAGGTTGCGGATTTTGGACTCTCTAGACTGTTTCCGATGGATAGAACGCATGTATCAACCGCACCACAAGGAACTCCAGGCTACGTCGACCCGGATTACCACTTGTGCTATCAACTCTCCAACAAAAGCGACGTGTACAGCTTCGCGGTAGTGTTAATGGAGCTTATATCCTCGCTTCCAGCAGTCGATATCACAAGACCGCGCCAAGAGATCAACCTATCAAACATGGCAGTCGTGAAAATCCAGAACCACGAGCTAGGGGAGATAGTGGATCCGTCACTAGGGTTTGACACGGATACAAGAGTGAGACAGACGGTGATCGCCGTCGCTGAGCTGGCGTTCCAATGCTTGCAGTCCGATAAAGATCTTAGGCCGTGCATGTCGCGCGTGCAGGATACGCTGACGAGGATACAGAGCAATGGTTATGGTTCGGAAATGGAGGTTGCAGATGCCAAGAAGAGTGGACCGTTGGTTACACAGTCTCCTGATAGTGTAATTGTGAAATGGGACAGTAAGTAAATCAGTCACACGAACAGTAACAATTGTATGTCAAAAAAAAAAAAAGGACACTAACATTTGTATGTGTTGATTATGTTTAAATTTTGTCAACTGACAGTTGGTGTTTGTGTGTCTGTAATAGATGATATTTTTGGGAATGTATATATGATCTGAGTTTCTTAAATAAAATAGTACTCTCACCACAGATGATAGATCCACATAATGATGCCTATGATGGTAATTAGCTAAATAAGGTCAGGGAAGTTTAATTAAGGAAACGTCGTCCTATATATGTTAACGATTTAAAAGTCCATATTGTTGTATCCAAAATTTCCCAATGAAAGCACACCAATCTAGGGCATGGATGCTTTACTACTACCATTAATGAACAAGTTAGAGAGTAAGTCATCTTGATGAATGAGTGTAATTGCATGTGAATCAGATCCTTCGACCATACTACATACATAATTTGATAATCTATAGCAATGGCCCAACTATATATTGACATTTGTTGCAACCTAACTCACTCCTAAAACTTAACATACGTGTTTGATCATCTAAAGGAAATACGTTAAAGAAATCGATCTAGAATTAATGCCGATTTCTTCAAAAGAGATATATAAATTAGGCAACTCAAAATTTTACATTAACTAAAGATTCATACATTCCACAATGTTTTTTTTTTTTTTTTGGAATAATCTATCCATATGTTGATTGTAATTTGACGGCAACATATTAACAAGAACCATTGTGCTTACTTGTTACACAATCTCAACTTGTAAATATATGTTTTCGTTTATCTTCATATTTCTTGGATAATATATGCATATGTGTATAGTTTTACACATGTTCATTGTAGTTTGTCGAGTAATTGGCATTGGCAATATTTTGGAAACATAAGTTGGCAAATGGATGTGATATTTTACCCTATAAACCTACACAAAACGCTCTCTGCAGAAACATTAATGAAATATTTTAATTAAACAAAGTTTTTTTTTGTTTTGTTTGTTTGGGGATATCAACTAAGTTTGGCTACATCCATTTCATTTACACTTAACCATACACACCAAACTAACTAGAAATGTTCTTTCCCCCTTGCAAAGAGAGAGTCTAATGGAACCCCACACGACCAAACAAATGGTCCCATTTCCCTTGTTTGGACGTATCTCTCCCCCCGACACACAAATCCCACAACGTTCACTTGCCCGCGTGGCTCTCCCTTTATTATTTCTCTCTTTTTTTTTTTTTGTTTCTTAATTTTCCCCACATTTCTTTTTCTCATTTATAATAAAAATATATATTTTTGTTTAATAAAATAATTCAATCGAACAATATAAGAGTCTCAAGTTTTGTATCAAATTCAGTCTCAAGAAGTTAAAAAAAAAAAAAAAAACAGCTTCAAGAAAAAAAAACATATCTCACTTTAGTATTATAGGGTTAATGGCGAATTTCGAGAATCTTTCTTCTGAGTTTCAGACAATAGCCATGGATATATATTCTTCTATAACTCAAGCTGCGGATCTAAACAACAACAACAACAGTAACCTTCATAATTTCCAAACATTTCATCCATCCTCCACTTCTCTCGAGTCGCTCTTCCTTCATCATCATCATCAACAACAACAACAATTACTTCATATTCACGGGAACTCTCCAGATAATAGTAACAATGTCTCCCCGACCTCAAGTTTCATCCATTCTGATGATCACAGCAACGTCGATGAGACCAAGAAGAGAAAAGCTTTGTTACATTCTCTGTCTTCATCGGAGAATAGTACTGGAGTCTCTCATATTATTAATACCGCCGAAACGGTAAATGATCTCGAAACCCTAATCTTATCATTTTCGTAGACTCCTTTGACATTTCTTTTACTTATAGTTACTTTTGTTTTGTATACAAAAATAGGGTACTCTGAGAAGAGGTAAGAGGCTGAAGAAGAAGAAAGAAGAAGAAGAAGAAGGGAAAGAGAGGGAAGTAGTTCACGTGAGGGCCAGAAGAGGCCAAGCCACTGATAGCCACAGCTTAGCCGAACGGGTAAAATTTGCTTTAATTCTTTTTTAGCTTAGCTAGCTGATTTCCATATAAAAACGGTACGTGTGTATTTATTTACATGTAATATAACTTTTCTATATCATTTCAGGTTCGGCGAGGGAAAATAAACGAGAGATTGAGATGCTTGCAAGATATGGTTCCTGGATGTTATAAGGTAATATAAGAGTGCAAAAAAAAAAAAGGAGTTAAGAATTGTTCACTTTTTTTTTCATATATTAAATTTAACCATTTCTTATACTTAAAGTAGAAATTAATGGCCCGACTATAAATATTACCACTAATTTTTTTGAGTATAATTTAACCCTTTTTGTATTTAATGGTAAAAATAACTTTTATTTTAATAAAACATAATTAAGATTTACAGATGTACCAAAAATGTTTTTTATATGCATGCATGTGTGTGATTTTTGCTAAATATGTTTTTCTTTGGCAGCCTCGTATTGAACTTTTCTCTTCTGATATTTTTTTTTAAGTTTACTATAAGAAATCTTATTCGAATTTATTACGTAAATCGTAAATTCGTAATGTGAATTTCTCTATTGATTTATTGGTGACAATGAGAGTGTATGTTTGGTGGGTGCAGGCTATGGGAATGGCTACAATGCTTGACGAGATAATTAATTATGTCCAGTCTCTACAGAATCAAGTCGAGGTTAATTAATAGTTTTAATTCTTTTTACCCTGAATTACATATTCCCATAGAGTTATTCATTTTGTTTTTATCTTGTCGATTCAGTTTCTCTCGATGAAACTTACTGCAGCAAGTTCGTTTTATGACTTCAACTCAGAGACCGATGCTGTTGATTCCATGCAGGTACTAGAACATACTGGTAATGCTGTACGTTTTCAATAGATAAGCAAAAATATATTGAATTAGTGGTAGAGATGATGGGTCCGGTATGTTTTGATATATAGAGTCGGTTCAACAAATATATATATATATTGAAATACAGGTTTTAGTATTTATAGTTTAGATTCAATCTTATCGGACAATATTATACGGACTACATAACCCGCAATTATAATATGTTCGACAGGTCTAATCCGGCCTTTACATATATGGTTTAGTAGTACACTTCTTCTCTCTTTGTTTGGCTCTCCATTATAGATGATCTTTAAGTCTAACTAGTTGTTGCGATGACAATTATATTTGTTTAATGTGATCAATTGTTTCTAAGTAATGAATGTATGAATGGGATACAATTGGCAGAGAGCAAAGGCACGTGAGACAGTGGAGATGGGTAGACAAACAAGAGATGGGAGTCCTGTCTTCCATTTATCAACATGGTCCCTTTGACTTTTGTTTTCTCTTTTCATTATCTTTGCTTCTTTTTCTTTTTTTAATACTGTTCTCGAAATTATTCTTATATTTATTTGGATGCGATATGTTATACGACCCAACTTGGAATATATAGTATTTTGTAATCTGTATACTTGTAATTTTCGACATTATGAATTTGTTGGTGACTTATATTGGCTATATATAATTGTCATGTAAATATCTCAGTAATTGTCCTCTTCTTTTTCTTCTTGTTAGTTTTTTTTTTTTTCGCAAAACAAGTTGTAACTATGGATCAGTTAGCTCATGTGAAAAAGAAGTTATAACTAAGGGTGAATTAACTAGCTCATGTACGTCAAAGTGTTGAGGAGTGAATTGATGAAGAGATCGAGAAGATAAAATGCAACCGTGTAAACAATATTACAAAAAGTACTTAGCGAAATGGGTTTGATGATCAGTCTTTAACAAAAAGAAATGATTATTAGTGTGTTATCATGTTGGTTTTAGTTTTAGTTTATAAATTTATTTGAGAAATCTTAGTCTGGTAATATGGCTATATTACTTGATGTCAGAAGTTCGTTCATAAAATCGACTTGCAATATGGCTATATGGAACATACTAAAAATAAGGATTGTGTTTATGTTAAAACTAACATGGTAAAAGGGATGGTTTATCATCCATATATAAATTTGCTTTTGGTTACTTAATTAGCATGGATATTCTAGGTTTAAAACTAGCTCATCAGAGATAGTCTTTTATATTCTTCTTTGTCACACAAAACTGAGCGGAATAGGTTTGAAGAAAGCCAAAAGAGCGAGAGATAGGCATAGAACAGTTAACAGTATACAGATACGATAAAAGAGGCCAAGTTGCGCAAGGTTTTGGAAACTACTAATAATCAGAGAAGAAATTAATATGTGTGTGTGTAAATGGAATGGAACAAAAGAGACTTTGTCGGTGTAAAGAGACAGAAACACCCTTCACTTCTGTAGCTTTCCAAAGACAATGATGTGTGTCTCCCGAACCAAAAACAGAGACAAAATAGTAATTTCTGTGATGCGAAGCCCATGGACGTGTTTTGCAGACGATCGAACAAACCATAATCTTTCTAATTCCTCTTTCTTTCTTTCAATTCTCTTTGTGGTCTCTCTCTCTCTCTTTTATATTATCCATCCAATATCTCATCGATCTCTTTCTACTTATTTTATAAAACTAAATAGAGACGGTTCACAGCATCTGATTGAGATCTTGCCTATTCATAATCTTCATGATTGAGATTATCAATAATTCAGATATTTCGTTTATGTAATAATACACTTATGTATGTGTCCTGCTCGATCTTACGTTATTATTCTCTATGTTTCTTTCATATTTTTTTTTTTTCCTAAGAAATATATATATATATATATATATATATATATATGGCATTTTCAACATTTCTCAATCCACTAGACAGGTCGTATCTGATTATATACGACAAAAGTTGCTGTTTAAAATTTCATATATGGCAATATATTAGAATCAACATTATGTTTTCTTTCTGACGTAAAAATGCCTAAATTAATGTTCCTTCTCAGATTCTCATACTTTTTTACTTGTTTGGTGATCTAAAAATGAGTTTTATTTTTATTTTGTTAGGATGCTTAAGGAAAACAGGCACATATTTGCATAGTACGTAGTCGGGATTTTAACTTCTCAAGTCATATGATATTGTTAATGCAATGTGTTTCGCAATTCGCTCGAGATTAGTATGTATATGGCTTTTGATGACATCCTTACGTAATTGATTGGGGCATTAACACATGCATGATATATGCTTGAATTTGGATCATGCATATATATATAGATGATCATCCTAACAAAATAAAAATGATCTCCACGCACGACATGATATACTTTCACTGTTTAATCTTATAAAACCGAATGTGAATTCAAAACGAAAACATTTTTTTTTTAGTAGAAATTTAAATAAATATTAGATTTACATATGATGGCTTATAAAGGAGCTAGTACCTTTATGGCTTAATTTACACATACATTCCTAAAATGCAAAGTAACACTCAGAAAAAGATGCATGCATCCATGAAATTAGTATGGACAGCTTGAAATGGACCATTCGTTAAAGAATTGGTCAATGTGGGATTTTCATGTTTACTTTTTCTCTCGTTGTTTATTGAGAAGGAAAACTATATAATAATGCAAAATACTATAAAATAATATATACTTCTAGTAGCTTTCTGTCCATTTCCATTTCTGATATTTTTTTCTAATTTTTATTCAAAAACTTGGAGAAAATAGTATAAATGCTTCACAATGATGTTACAAATAACAGTATAGATTCTAGAAATTAGGGTCATCTTTATATTATCAACCGAATTCAATCCTGGATATTAATTTCTTATTCATAACTAAACATGACATGGAAATGTTTGTCTTGATAATTTAACCTTAAGATCCTTTATCCCCCGTTGTTATTTTGTATTGCGGAAAATAAGAGTTTGTGGTATTTTAATTTCTTAAATATTAGTTTAGTATTGTCAATAATACATATAAATATATATATATATATATATATATATATATATATATGTTTTTTTGGAAAAAATACATATAAATATTTTATTATCATATTATTGAACAAAATATAAGTCAGGGTCACATATATCATAGATTATTCTTCTTTTTTTTTTTTTTGGGGTACAACTTGTTTTCTTCGACACTACCATCTATTTTGTCGTTTTACATATTTTTATTGTATTTGCCTATTTGGTGATCTGAAACTGTATCTACTTTGTCTGCTTTAAGACCAATGATCTATTTGTTTCTTTCCCCTCCTTTGATTATAAAAAATACTTGTGCAATATGGGCATGAAAGCAAAATGTCAGAGAGTGTCTATCCACTATTATAGCCATTTGATAAATATAGTGATATGTTTTTGTCATCTTTTATTAAAAATTTGTTTCCTGATATGATGATTAATTAGTAGTACGAAATAATGGTTAAAATGATATTTTAGGTTGCTCATCATACATGCATGACTTGTTGACTTAAGCTTGAAGTAAGTTTGGAGTGCAAGCATAAGAAGATTATGATTAAGTTTTATATATTTAGGAGTTTATCTAAATATATGTTTTGGTGTTATCTCCTAATTAGAATAGGAGTTATAAACTAATTCTTTTCTTATATAAGGAGATGTCAAGGTGTGACATAACTTGTGAGAATTGAGATTGAGAGATTGAGAGCTTTAGGTTTTGAGAGATTTTCCTAAAGTAATAAAAGAGAGTGATTCTTTTATATTTGATCTTGATCTTTTAATCTTTGATTCTAGATTTGGTATCAGAGCAAAACAAAACCTCATACTAATTGAAAGCATACTTGAAAGCATGAGCGAGATTGTTCCTGTTACAAAACCGAGTGGAAGCTCCTCTTCCATACAATGTCCTATGCTCTCCTCCTGCAACTATACGGTTTGGGCCATCAAGATGAAATCCTGTCTCAAAGTGCACAAAGCTTGGGACATCATTGAAACAGCGACAGAAGACGTCGAAAAGAATGATATGGCAATCGCTTTGCTATTTCAATCCATACCCGAGTCGCTTGTTCTTCAATTTGGTGGGCTTACTTCGGCGAAGCAAGTTTGGGAATCGATCCAAACAAAGTATGTTGGAGCAGAGCGGGCTAAGGAGGCTCGTTTGCAAACCCTTATGGCTGAATTCGATCGACTCACAATGAAGGAAACAGAGAGCATCGATGACTTCAGCAGCAAACTTGCTGAGATTGCTTCAAAGTCATCCGCCTTGGGAGAGATCATCGAAGAGCCAAAGATCGTGAAGAAGTTCCTTAAAAGTATCCCTCGAAGAAAGTATATTCACATTGTTGCATCTCTTGAGCAAGTTCTCGACTTGAATAAGACAAGCTTTGAGGAGATTGTTGGTCGTCTGAAGGTGTACGAAGAACGAGTGCGAGACGATGACATTGATCAAGATGAACAAAGCAAGCTTATGTATTCAAACGCTGAGAATACATACTATTCCAGAGATGGTAGCGGGGATACAAGAGGACGTGGAAGAGGGAGTCGAGGTTCTTCAAGAGGACGAGGTCGTGGAAGGAATGGTGGAAGAGATTTGTCGCAAATAACTTGCTTTCGATGCGATAAACTTGGCCACTATGCTTCCTCATGTCCTGATCGCCTACTTAAGTTGCAAGAAGCACAAGAGAATGAGAAGGTGGATGCTAAAGACACACAAACAGCAGATGAACTCATGTTACATGAGACAGCAGATGAACTCATGTTACATGAGACTGTCTACTTGAATGAGAAGCATTGCGTGCCCAGCAAGTTTGAGACGAATTCTGATGAAGAAAACATTTGGTACCTTGACAATGGGGCAAGCAACCATATGACTGGAGATAGACGGTATTTTGATTCAATGGATAGCTCAGTCACCGGAACAGTGAGGTTCGGAGATGATTCAAGAATCGATATCAAAGGGAAAGGAACGATTGCATTTGTTGATTTGCATGGAACATCAAGAATGCTTACCGACGTATACTTTATACCTGACCTAAAAAGCAATATCGTCAGCCTTGGACAAGCTACGGAATCCGGATGCACCATAGAACTCAAAGAAGATTACCTAACTATGTGTGACCGTGAGGGAAAGCTTCTAGTAAAGGCAAAAAGGTCCAAGAATCGCTTGTACAAAGTCCGGATGATGCTACGAGACAATGCGTGTTTATATCTAACAAGCATGACCGAGACAAGTAAATGGCATGCTCGTATGGGTCATGTGAATCTCACCACTTTAAAAGCAATGTTGGACAAGGAATTGGTTCTAGGAGTTCCAAACATTACTATTGAGAAAGAGGTGTGTAGCTCGTGTCTTCTCGGAAAACAGACCCGACAAGTTTTTCCACAAGCAACAAGCTATAGAGCAACAAAACTTCTTGAACTAGTCCATGGTGATCTCTGTGGTCCAATAACACCAAGTACAAGTGCTGGAAATAGGTATATTTTTGTACTTATTGATGATCACTCTCGCTACATGTGGAGCATTCTTCTAAAAGAAAAAGGAGATGCTTTCTCTAAGTTCAAGAACTTTAAAACTATGGTGGAGAAGGAAACGGGAGAGAAGATTCAGACTTTTAGAACGGATCGAGGAGGAGAATTCGTGTCAATAGAGTTTAACTCTTATTGTGAGGAACATGGCATTAAAAGGCATATAACCGCTCCTTACACACCACAACAAAATGGTGTAGTGGAAAGAAGGAACAGAACAATGATGGAGATGACAAGAAGCATGTTAAAACATATGCGAATGCCTAACTACCTTTGGGGAAAAGCCATTCGACACACGACTTATCTCTTGAACCGGGTCTTAACACGAGCGCTTAAGGAACAAACACCATATGAATCGTTTCGATCAAAGAAACCTGATGTCGAGCATGTACGAATCTTCGGGTGTATCGCTTATGCTAAGATAGACAAGCCACACTTGAAAAAATTGGATGATCGGACACGTATTCTCATACACCTAGGGACTGAGCCAGGTTCAAAGGCATACCGCTTGCTTGACCCTAAAACAAGGAAAATTGTGGTAAGTCGCGATGTAGTGTTCGATGAGACAAAGGGCTGGGAATGGAACCA